GCGACGCGTTACCTGTCAAGACGCGCTGGGCTTCCAACTTTGTTAAACGTCGCATAGAACTCAAAACAAGGTTCCAGCGCAAATACGACTATCAGAGGGCTAAATGCGATGACCCAGTAATTATTTGTAGCTGGTTTGAGCTTGTGCGAAACACAATTGTGAAGTACGGCATCCACGATGCGGATATTTACCTGTCAGATGGTAATAGAGGTATCTGAGGATGAGTATTCTACATAGCTTTAATTGATTTATAGCGTTGTAGTGGAATTATCATAGTATTTGTTAAGTGAGCACATTGGACTGTATTGTCATACTGACATTCGTTGCACTCAGTTTGCTATCAAACTCAAGTGCAAACTTGGAAATCTCCTCCTCAAACCTACAAGTCACTATACATATTTTGGCTTATCACACCAACAACAAGAGCAATACTACTCAACGATTGCTACAACCATCTATGATTCATTACACGTCATCGCTCCTTAGTTACTGGGCCGATATTACCACATAGCATATCTCTACAACCCTCTATGATTCATTACATGACATCACTCATACTACCACATGACATATCTCTACCAACTAGAGGCCTAGGAGCATGAACGATAGCTCTAAAAGCTCCTACGAACCTCTATGATTCATTACATGTCATCGCTCTTTAGTTACCCACAAGATTGGTTAAGTTATGACATAATTTGTCTGTGACATAATTTGTCTATGACATAATTTGTCTATAGGGGTACTCTGACCTTGGACCTCCTTTTGGTAAGTCATGGAAAGTCTTGGAAAATGAGAGAACTACATTCCTTTAGCATAAATAGGATTGCCCTTTCCTTAAGAAAGGGCAAGCAGACAATACAGTAAATCGACTATCACATACTTCCACGTCTTTTCCAAGCTTCCAAGCATTCATCTTATTACTCCTTGTTTCTGAAAAGTCAGTGAGGTGTTAACCTCTGACTTACCCCTGAGTTCCCAGACTCAACATTTGTTGCAACTTGTCTAAACCACTTCACTACATCATACACCTGATTGCTGCGTTGTGGAATAGTCTAAGCTACAACCCTTTGGCTCTTTTTCCTAAGACAGTGAGTTGTTTCCTTGGGTGGCTAGATTCTCACATCTGGTGCACCCACCATTACATGTATCATTCGTTATGTTGTATCATTCGTTATGCACGCACGTTAGATAAATCAGTTTATTATAGCAGAATGGCTAATAGCTTTCTATTTACATATAGGCTCTCATAGACAGATTCTGCTAACAATGCACAACTTTTTAGCACATATTGCTGCCGTCGAAACAACACCTCCACCCTCAAATATATGAATTATCTAGCTACTAGCAAATGTAACAAGTCGATTCTAGGCCCTAAATCAAGGCATTATTGCCTCCTTGAAGCTCATTATCGTCGACAATGGCTTGCATTCATGCTAAACGCCTTCGACAACAATGAAGATCCTCTTAAAACTATTAACTTACACCTTGCCCTTCGCTAGATCATCTAATTGTGGTATCACAATGTCTCAAATACGACTATCTACAACTGCTTCTGCAAAAGTACAATCATCAAAAACCTGATCCAACTTCCTCTCAAGCACATTCCGCCTCTTACTGACCTTTACAACTAAGTACAACAGGACAGCTGAATTCACGATGTGATGGACCTTTCAAACTTTCTGAACCTAGCGGAGGAGACAATACAAGAGGGTATATAAGATAGCGAGGGGGATATAGTACTACAAGAGGTCATTGAACAATATATCCAGCCTCCTAATGAAAGTCAAGATGATGATGATGGGGAGGAACTTAGACTGCCAGTGGTTCATTCTACGTAGGCAGTTCTACAAGCCCTCCAAGTTCTGGTTGACTTTACGGAAACTAGTAATAGTGGCATAAGGGAGCCGGCCGCTACGTTCTTTAGAGCGTATAGAAAGGGAATTAGTGGTCAAAAGGGCAAATGAGGGCATTTAGGGCACATTGGACGTTTGACTTACATAATGGTTTGATTACTCGATATTCAGTATATCTCGATATTATCTAGAGGAATTCTTATATTGACTTATCGCGTGAGAACTGTAGGCTCTAAGGATGCCGTTTAAGGCTCATCTATAGTGTTGATTTAGGGACTTTGAAAATGCGACAGGCAGCAATTATAAACTTAGAAGGGTTTTCTACAAGCCACTCATAGGCATTTGATATAGGAGTCCCCTCCATTAAATGAATTGTATAGGATTACAATATAAATTACTATCTACATCTACGGAAAATGTTTTGTTGAGGAGTAGCGGTGAACGGACGCACGTCGCGAAACCGTGCACATCGCTTCCGCTCATTTTGAAACCGCGCGGATCGCTTCCTCCAACCTTAATCGTTGGTTTCCAAACCACCGCCTGGAGGCGGTTGGCGAAAGCGATCCTTGCTGCGAAAGCGATCCTTGCTCTCTCGGCAAACGCGAGCGCGTCCAATGCGACATCAGGACAACGCGACTATCTGGACAACAATTGACACGTAAAGTTACAATCATGTCAATTGATATAGCTAGAAACGAAGCTATTCAAAAAGCAATTGATTTCCTAAATCAGAACCCAACGGAGACTATCGCCGCAGCAGCTAGAATCTACCATGTACTCCCAACCACACTCCGTATGCGACGCATGGCGCAACGCCAACCACCAAAGCCTCGCGGAGGTAACAACAGAATACTTTCAGATATACAAGTTATAGCTATACAAAGATACATTCAACGGTCATATGAAAATGGGTACGGTGCAACGAAGCCAATGGTGTTTAATGCTATCTGCCAACTACTACCAGCTGAAATCCTGACACATCCACCACCGTCTCAACGGTGGTTCCAGACTTGGATTAAGACTCAACATGAGACTTTCCACACCATTAAAACCCGGCCAATTGAAGCAGCACGTGTTGCTTCTCATGATGTATCAGCTATCAAAGAATGGTTTCATGGATTCAAAGATGTGTGTAATCAATTAGATGTTACTGCAGCTAACATCTACAACTTTGATGAAGTTGGGTTCCGAGTGGGAATGAGCACCGGTGAACATGTGTTAGTGCCAACAGCAGTAAAGGAGGTACGTTATATGTACTCATCTTACATTATATTATTCTAATTTGTATAGCTTTATATACAAGCTCCAGAGAATCGTCAAAGTCTCACAGTAATAGAGACAATTTCAGCTGCTGGCATTGTACTTCCACCGTTCCTAATAATTCAAGGAAAGCTTCATATGGAAAGTTGGTACCATGATAATCTACACGGTGATGAGAGAGTTGCAGTATCAGATTCAGGATATACAAACTCTGAGCTCGCAATGGAATATCTACAGCATTTTATTCAACATTCTGCACCCTCTACAAAGACGAAGTTGCTTATAATGGACTCTCACATTTCTCATGAAGTTCCAGAATTTATAATACTTGCACATCAAAACAACATACATTTACATGTATTCCCTTCTCACCTTACACATATACTACAACCTCTTGACGTTACAGTATTTGCACAGTATAAGCATTGGCACCGCCGTGCTATTCAACAAGCAATTCAGAATTTTGATGTTGACTATAATGTTATTTCATTCTTCCGAGACTTACCTACAATCCGAACACAAACGTTTACAAAGGGAAACTGTATGAAAGCGTTTAGAGACTCTGGTATTTGGCCACCAAACTACGAGAAGATAGAAAAGAAAGTGGCAATATACGCAAAACCAGCACTTTTAGAAACACCAAGGCAAGCAATCCAAGCAAGTCAAGATCTTTCAAATTGGAGTCAAAGATTTGAAGAGATTCTTAGTTCACCATCACGGCAAAAGTGGACATCTTCTTATACAGAGATTCAAGTACAGTTAACAGAAAGTACTTTGGTTACCTCAGAGCTTATGCAAATTACTACTATTATGTCTGAGCAAAGACAACGGAAAGTTAGAAGCAGAAAATCTATTCAAAAGGGTGGAGCTGTTACAGTTGAACAAGCACGGAAGAAGATTCATACGAAGATAGTAAAGGAGCAAGAGAGAGAAGAAGCAAGAGAGAGAAGAAGCAAGAGAGAGAAGAGAGAGAAAGCGCATGGTTAACCTTGAGTATAAGCTGCAGCTCCGTGCTGGCATTGATGCACGGAGAGCGGAACGGGTACGGAAAAGGGAATTACTTGAATTCCAAAGGAGTAACCCAGACACCGAGCTACCAAGGGAGTTACTCGAAGTAATCATAGACCCTGATATTGAGCGTAGGAGACAGGAGGAAGAGGAGGAGAAGGAGGAGCAGTTGCACTGGCAATTGGCCGCTGAAGAAAGTGGTTTTGTTGACTTTGCAGACCTTGACTACGACATGATCCACAGTGCAAGTGACAGTGTAAGTGATAATCAATCACTGCCCGACAATATAGATCCTAACCTATTTAATTAATCAATTATATCTACGTTCATTGCTGTTTGTTGTCCAGATAGTCGCGTTGTCCTGATGTCGCATTGGACGCGCTCGCGTTTGCCGAGAGAGCAAGGATCGCTTTCGCAGCAAGGATCGCTTTCGCCAACCGCCTCCAGGCGGTGGTTTGGAAACCAACGATTAAGCGAAGCGAAATCTTGGTCACGACGATTAGCGTCAGAGGGCAAGCTACGGGTACGGAGTACGGACAGAAAAGGTACGAGTACCTAGCACAGGGCGGTCAGGACGAAAACAGAACTTACTTAGGGTTAGTTACTCGTTACTACTACCAGAACATCTGCGTAGGACTGGTGAGCTAGAGGGAAAGTACATCGGGCTTAGTGGATGTGGTACCTGCGTCGTGCCGCAATGGTTTGCGGCGGGATGATGTACTCCTGTTTGTAGCTTTCACTTACATCAACGCCTTCTTCCAACCATAGTTTTATTGTAGAAAGTTAGAGGAACCCAGCTACGAGTACTACTGTATGCAAGTATTCACTGACGCCGAGTAGTAAGTGGTGCTTTGGTATAGTGTCTGAAGCTTAAACAAACCCCGATTCAGTTCAGTAATTGTCATACGTGCTATATAATCCCACGCCCAACCCCAATGCAGTGATGATGCTTTGGTACAAGTATCAGAATACATACCTGTGATGCCTCGCTGTGATACAGAGACCCTCGAGCTCACTTCCCACCACGCACACCCCAATATTCAAACGACGTCCATTTATGTACCCTTACAGCCCCCCTTTTTTTGTATATTCCTATTCCCCATTAACATTCCTATCCCAGAACAAGGACGAAGCCAACGCTGATGCTCATACTCATGCTCATGCTCACGCTGTAACCCCCATCCACCCCCATCCACCAACTATCTACACAGACAGCACACACACATATAGTACACTAAATCACACCCCGTCCTCCCCCATCCCCGCCTACTTCGCAGCAATAGCCGCATTCCACTTCCTCTCATCATTCCTACAAACCACGTTAGTAAACCCATCTCAACCACCACCCCCCAGGACACAAAAGGACTCACCCATCAAACCTCAACAACTTCCCCAACACCGGCACCAGCTGCTGCTGCAACTTGCGATCCCTCTGCTCAAAAAACTGCAACAGCACCGTCTTCAAATACTGCACATCGCTCACCCCCTGTCCCACCGGCGACGCCCCCCTACTCCCTCCCCCCCCCAAATCCCCCGACACCCTTCTTCCCGCCCCCGTCAGCTCCGCCAACCTCGTCTCCCGCGCCTTAAGCGTCTTAGCCAACTTCTCATACCTCGCCCCCGCCTCCTCCAACAACCTCCTCAGGTCAACCTTCCCCTTCTCCGCCTCCCTCGCCTGCCTCTCACTCCCGTCCAACGCCGTCCTCAGCTCCTCCATCGCAGCTCTTACCTCTTGCACCTCACCCGCCGCCCTCGCACTAACGCCCTCCATCTCGTCCCTCCGTCTCTTAACCTCCTTCGCCTCGCGGTCGAGCGCCTCCCGATCCTCCAACGCGCGCTTCAGTTCCCGCTCCATCTCCCTCACCCGTCCCTTCAACTCATCCGCCTCCCTCGCCCTTCTCCGTCCCCCCGTCGCAGCCTCCTCCTCCGCGCGATCCCGCTCCTCAACCGCCGCCTCCATCCTCTCCCTCATCTCCCTCACCTTCGCCTCCGCCCTCTCATCAATATCGGACAACAACCTCCTCATCGTCTCCCCCTCCCTCGTCCGCTCCGTCAACAGCCTCTGCACCTCCCCCAGCTCCTCCTCCAGACTCTCAGCCGCCTCCTTCGCCTCCTTGAGCTGCATAGCCATCTCCGCCGTCTGGTCGCGCATACTCCCCACCAGACTCTGCGCACTGCTGTACTGGCTGACTTTCAACTCCATCTCCCCCCTGACCTCGCGATTCTCCGCACCCACCCTCCCCATCTCCGCCTCCAGCTCCCTCACCCTCGTCCGCAGCTTAAGCACCTCCTCCCTCACCGCCCCTAGCTCCCGACTAGCCTTCTCCCCCGTAGCAGAGAGCTCAATCTTCTCCGCCTCCACGCGCCGTAGGTCCCTCCCCGCAACCCTCGCCGCATCCTCAGCCCTGACGCGCCCATTCGTCTCGCTCGTCAACTGGGCCTGCAGCGCCTTAACCTCCGCTTCCCGCTCCTCAGCCTGCTTCTTAAAACTCCCCACATCGCCCCTGAGCTCCCTCTCCCTTGCCTCCAGCTTGCGCAACTCCCCCGTCCGCGCGGCCAGCTCGTCCTTGGTGGTCTTCAGGGCCGCGTTTTCGCTGCGCAGCGATTTGAGCTCGGGCTGGGCCTTCTGCAGAACGTCGCGCAGGTCGGTGAGTTCCTTGTACCGCGTCGATGCGAGTTTCTCCGCGGCGCCGAGGTCGCTTTGGAGGGTTGACAGCTTCGTCTTCAGCTCGTCGTGGTCGCTGGTCATGGACTTGAGATTCGCCTCCGCTTGTCCCGCCTTCTCTCGATGCTCGATCTGCGAGGAGATGGAAGATTCGAGGGCGTCGACTTTTTGCTGGAGGACCTTCTTCTCGGCTTCTAGCTCCTTGATCTTCTGCTTGGCTTCGACATGCTCGTGGCCAACTTGCAGGTAGTTCTCCTCCAGCTCATCGATCTTCTCGCGCATGGTCTCGACATTCTTCTGCTGCTTTTGGAGTTTCTCGATTTGTACATCTCGTGAGGCGACTTCGGCCTTTAGCTTCTCAACTTCGGCTTCCAGGTCGTTGGTGGGAGCATCGGGAGTCGCGCTTTCGGTCGGTTTTTGAGGTGCTTCTGTGGCAGCGGCAGGGGTGTCCTTGCCAGCATTGGCGCCCTTCTTCTTTTTCTTGTTGTTCTTCTTCTTGGCTCCAGCTGGAGCGGCACTCTCGGCTGCGGCGGGTGTGGTCGTGGGTGCTGCAGCATTTTCGGGCTCAGCTTTGGCAGGAGCAACTTCGGCATCCTCACCGTTCTTCTTTAGAGTAGCGACGATACCCTCGAGGACCTTGATTTTCTTCTTGTCACCATCCTGTAGCGTCTGCAGATCTTTCAATTCCTTCTTTAGTTGGTCGATAGTAGCTTGAGACTTCTCTAGCTCGGCGGCTTTGGACGAGGCAGCATCGGTTCCCTCTTTCTCCTTCTCCGTAATCTTCGCCTGGAGCTCCGAGATGGACTTTGTGGAGGCATCGAGCTTGCCTTGAAGCTCCTTCAGCTCTTCCTGGCGCGCAGAATTGGATGCTGACTTTTCTGAAGATTCACTGACTTGTCGCTCTAATAACCGCACCGTCGTGGAAAGGCCCTTGTTTTTCTCTTTGAAGGCATCCAAATCTTTCTGGAGTACCACCACCTCGGATTTCAAAGTCTCGACCTCAGTGGTCTTAGCTTGGAGCTCGGATTGTAATTGCGGGATCTCCTCGTCGTAGGAGAAGAAGTCCTCAGACGCACCCTCGGGCTCGGTAGGCTTTTGCTTCGGGGAGAAGATCTTGAGCACCGATGAGACTGGCGACTTGACATCTGCCGGAGCTTTCGAATCGGTAGGTTTCGCTGCTTGGTCTTCAGGTTGTGGCTCCTCGGAAGGCTTAACCCCCTCGCTCGATTTCAAAGCCTCAAGCTCGGCCTGTGCATCAGTAGCTTCCCTCTCTGCCTCCTCAAACTTCTTCTTGTAGAGGTCGCGGTCCGACGTCACCCGCTTCAGCTCATCCATGACCATATCTCCCCTTAAGCTCAGCTGGTTTAGGTATTCCACCAACGCCTCCGGCTCGCTGATTGAAACTAACGGTGTATTCTCCTTCAGTGTCTTCTCAAACGGCTCGATTGACACGGCCCGCGCATGAGCGATGCGGTATGATCGGAGCAACTCTTGGTATCGTGACTCTAGTTTGTCAAGTTTTCGTAGTTTCTGCAGCACCTCCACCGGTAGCTCAGTCGCTGCTGCTGTCGTGGCTGGTGAAGGCGTAGTCGGCTTGGGCACAGCCTCCGACTTCTCATTCACCCCCTCGCCATTGGCCACAGCCGCAGGTGCAGGACTGCTCTTTCCCGTCATTGTAGTTCCCTTGGTGTCTGTGATCAGCGGTGTCGCACTGGGTGTAGATTCCGGCGTGCCCTCGTCGTCGTCAATCACAAAGGCTGATTCGAATTCCGACGGGTCCGGGCCCCTTGCACCGTCACCGACGACCTTAGTCTTTTGCTTCGTCCGCTTCGTAGGGTCGGCCCTTGCAGAGTTCGACCTTGATACTGTTCCTGAGCCCACAGTAGGTGTTCCTGCTGCTTTTGCCTTTGCTTGCTCCTCCGCTATTCTCGAATCAATGGCGCCTTTAAGCCGCTGCGTGGCAGTTAGTATCGCATGGCTGTATAGCCAGGTGTCCCAGGGCAACGCACTTGGAACATTCCGACCTCTGTGAAAGCCAGTTCGCCAGTCCAACTCAACAACAGCGCATTCTTCAGAGCCGCGCAAACATCAAAGGCGAATATTTCAGATGTGAACAAAACATCAATATGAAGACGCGCGCGTGTTGCCAGAGGCTCCTTTAACAAGTGTAACTGCTTGGCTCCAGGCAACGAGGGGCACTTGGACCAGGGAGCTGCTACGGGTCAGCTTTTAGGCCTATGATGCAACCTTGAAAGTACCTAAAGTTACGTACAGCAGAGCAACTTGACAATGGTCTGTCTTCTATCGTATCCACGCCAAAAAAGCAATTGAACAACAACAAACTTCTGCGCTCTGTCATGCCGACGATGAAGCAGAGAAGCTGCTCGAATCTTGCCGGCTCATTCTCATAATGGTCTCACTATGGCCTTGGAAGGTACGGCCACTGCTCCCACCATGTGTCCTCCGTACTAACCTTTCAACAGGGCGAAGATGCCTCCCCAGCCTCGTTCGAGAAGACCTTGTCCGCGTTGTCCGAGAAGATCACAAAGGCACAATTGCAGCTGGACACCCTAAACCAGCACTCTCGCAGACGCATAGCACTATGGACTCTATATACCTCCTTCGCATACATCCTCTGCGTCATAATCCTCGCCCTCGTCGTCGGATGGCGCAACTGGGGCGCCGCTGAGTACACCAGCGTCGCAGGCAGCCCTCTCATGTGCGCCCCCCTCACCCCCAATCCCCAATCCCACCCCCTAACAAACCCTCCAGCATGTACCTCGTCCGCGCCGCCATCTCCTCCTACTACACCTACCGCATCTCCACCGCCACCCGCCGCCTCGAAGAATACCAACTCGACCGCACCAAGACAATCGACAAGCTCAAGACCGCCACAAAATACAACTCCACCCAACAGCTCCTCGAGAAGTACGGCGGCGCCACCCCAGCCCCAAAGCCGAAGCTAAAACCCTCCACCGGCCCCGGCTCCTTCACACACGCCCAGCAGCACCGGTCCACCCGCAAACCAGCACGCACCAGCATCCCCCCGCCCGCAACGGCGAATATCCAGCGCCCTGCCCCCCAACCCTCGACGCCACAGCAGCTGCCGCCACCGCGGCCACAGGCGGAGATGTCACCACTCGCGCAGGCACTGCAGAAGCAGGTTCGCCAATCCGCGCCCTCCACGCCATTACAACAGCAACACATCCCCTCGCAACCACGCGCGGAATTCGCACCCAACGCCTTCAGTTCCCGTCCTGGCTTCGACAATAGCAGCGGTGGCGGAGGAGGGGAAGGGCAATGGTACGACCGCATCCTAGACGTGCTGCTGGGAGAGGACGAGACGCATCCCAAGAACCGGGTCGTGCTGCTGTGTGCGCACTGTAGACTTGTGAATGGGCAGGCGCCGCCGGGGGTGAAGAGGGTGGAGGAGGTGGGGGAGTGGAGGTGTTTTAATTGTGGGGGTGTGAATGGGAAGGATGAGGGGAAGAGGATGGCGGAGGAGATTATGCGTGGGGAGGAGGGGGGGAGTGATAAGGGGGCCGAGAGCGAGAAGGGGGAGGGAGAGGAAGAGGAGCAAAGGAGAAGAGAAAAGGAGGCGTGTGAGGAGGTGGAGGTGGAGGAGCAGATTAAGGCTGGTTTGAAAGAGGGGGGAGAGAAGTGATATATCGATCTTTACAAATTTCTTTTTTTTCCCACATCACAGCTCGTCTGGCTTCTATGCACCGCATCGATTTGAGTGACATCTCAGCCGTGATTCGTCTAAAGGCCATCCGTTCACCCCTGACGCATCCTCCAAACTCCTCCTACACTTCCCATCTTACCGCTTTTATAAACACACATCATCACGTCACCTCCCAATCACAAACAACCAAACCGGCATATTTTACATCCCAATTCTCAAGTCTATCTCAATATACCTTATTACCCACCCCTTCTCTTCCTCCCACCTCCCATCCCGATCGTTACCTCCACCCACATCACGCCCACAACCCCAACCTCGCAATTTATACAAACCATCCCCCCCAGAACACCAACCCACAACCCCCCCATCCAAATCCCGCACACGCACAGCAAACGAGACCTTCCCAGACCAGACTAGACGAGACACACAAAATATAAAAAAACCCCCTCCCAAACACCGCCCAATGCCACAGAAAATAGCATGCAAAAAACGCACACACACGAACCGACGTAGGTAGGTAGACCAGCCAAAAACAAGAACGCAACAGAACAAAACAAACCAAAAACATAAGGAATACCCATTTTTTGGTTTCCCGGCCGCCCCGTATCTTGAAAAAGTCCCCACCAGCTTCCGCGCGCATGGGCGATGGACTTATTTCATTTCCTCAAAAAAAAAAAAAAAAAAAAAAAAAGAGGCGCGTGCTCGGCTCCCCCCTTCGTCCTGTAATACCTCTCCCCTCTCCCCTCTCCCCTGTTCTGTTCTGATCTCTGGTTTCTGACGGGCTTTTTTGGGGGTGCGAATTCATTTCCTGTTTTTCTCTCATATGCTGTACTAAAAAAACCGAGGGGTTTCGCTGCATCGGAGGCGCCGCTACCGAAAACCTCCCCCCCCTCCGCCCCTATTTCCCTATAACGCGCCCGTTTATCTTTTCCCAATTCTAATTCTAGTACAAAGGTGGGGGTGTTTCCCATTTCCCATTCCCACTACCACCACCCAACCGCGCAGCTCGTGGGCGCGGGCGGGCGGGGGCCCGATTTTCCTACTCACACAAAGCGACGCGGGGGTCTCGCATAGTCCCACACCCTATTCCTTCCGCATCTGGAAAACCCTCAGCAGGCAGTCCGGGTCCGTCCCATGATATCCAGAGAAGCCCATATACATCGCATTCCAACAAACAGCACGTCTATAAAACTACCCCCCTTTCCTATCGGCCTCGAATCTCGGCGGCTCCTCCGCCTCTGCATTGCCGCCCCTTCCCGTCCCGTCCTGCCCTCTCCGCTTCCCCTTCTGTATCTGCTGCCACATGCCCACCCCGTCGCCCTCGCTCTTCGCACCGCGCGTATGGCCATTTGGCATCCCAACCCCTTTATTACCATTTGCGAGGGGCGACGGGTTGCGCCCCGCACTCCTCAACACCGCGCTCTCGCGCAGTGTTGACGGCGGCGGCGCAAACGCAGAAGAATCGGCTTTGCGGCTCGCGGTCGGCGAGGGAGAGCGCTTCTCGAAAACGGGCGAGAGATGCGGGACGTCACGCAGAGCGTCCTGCGGGCCTAAATCCAGTGGCGACATTCCCGTGCCTTGGGGCCGGGATGGTCGGTTGCGGACATTCGGCGAGGAGGTTTGAGCAGGTGTTGACGTGCCCGGGGATAGAGCACCGGTCTGGGTTGCGTGGCTGTAGCTTTGGGCTGAAGATGGCGCAAAGTTAGAAGTCGACGGTGGCCCGAGATATGTCTCCACGGCAGGTCTTTGCCTCTGCCAAGAAGGCGGCGATGGATCTCTCTCGGACCTATTTCTAGGTGGCAGCGACACTCCGAGTCCCGAATTCTGCGAGGGCTGTAGATTCCTACCATCTGCGTCTTGAGGTGTCAGATAAAACGAATCTACAGAAGCACCTACTGCATCATGATATTGATCCTCCGAAGAGCTTCCACTGGCAGATGACGGTGCCCCCGATGCGCGGGAGTGAGGTATCGAGAAGGATCCATTCACGACTAGAGGTGATAGCTCATTCAGACTCCGGACATTGGTATTCGATATGGCATGGGGAACCCCTCCCCCTCCATACACGGCAGGTATGGGTCTCGCCCCCGTAGTGTAACCGCGATCCCGCCCAAGTGGAGATGGTGACCTTGAAGTACGGCGCAAGCGCTCGAGGATAGCTTGCGGGAACTGCTCTGTGGAGAGCCTGCGGTGGCCCGGTGACGCGGAAATTGTGGACTGGAAATTGGACTCTATGGGGTTCTGGTAAATTATCGACCCGTTCAATCCATAGCCCCTGTAGTCCTTTTCAAATCCAACAGCTGGCAGCGAATCCGCTCGGCTAACCACCGAGTCGGTGTCGAACCCGGGTCTGCCGTTCTCATTCGCATTGGGGGGATGAGATGTTATGTCACCAGGATGCAACGGTGAATACGATTGCTGTCCTTCCATCTCATACTGCGTGAGCATGGGTGACAACGTTGTGCGAGCAGCAGGCGTAGAGTGAGACCTGGCTGAGCTATTCGACACCGAACCACCGGGGCCCGATCCGCTGGTCACACTTGACCTGTGCAGACTGCGTCGCAATTCTGGCACAGCAGATGGGATTGCGGGGGATAAGGGGTATGTTGGGCCTGGCTGTGGTCCAAACCCGGCGGGGTACTGGAACGAGACAGAGGGATAGTAGTACAGTGGTACAGCTAACGGGGGGTTGTCGAACGACATCCCCCGATTCCTGTCGGCGGCTTGCTGCGATGTAACCGGAGCGTTCGGCTGTAACCTATGCGTTTGAGCAAACGCCTCCATGCGCTGTTGTCCCTGCGCATAGTTTTGTTCTTGGCTGTACAGCTGGAGCCTGAGAAGGTTGTCCTTTTGTGCCTCCAAAGTCATGTATAACTCATGAAGCTGCAGCTGGGCTTGTTGATTCTGAATCCATGTTTCGCTGGGCGACATTCCTTGGGGTGTGGCTAACAGAGGATAGCCGTTGTTACCATCATACGTAGCACTTGAAGCCCGACGGCCCCCTTGGTTATTCCTGTTGTGGTTGGTGTTTCGACCACGTCCGCCATTACCCCCGCCACGGCCACCACCTCTGGACTGAGACACACTCCGCACAACAACTGGGCGAGAAGCAGTCGGCTTCTCCCATACTTTCTCTTCCTCCTTGGGGAACACGTATTGCTCACAGCACTCATTCAGTTTCGTCTCCGCAATCAGATCGAAGGCTCGTCGTAACTCCAAATGTAGGCCTCGGAATGTGAAGTCATCAGCCGTGTTCCCCAGATTGCGCCCGACGTTGAACGGCTCCTCGACACATAACCTGTTGTTATTTGCCAAGTTCCAGCCCTTCTCTTGTTTTGATATTAGCTTCCCATTTCTGACGGAAAGAACGTGCTTGTCGTAGTCAAGCTCGTGAGCATAGAATCGAAAAAACCGGAACAGGAGCTCCCCTAGGCTTTGCTTGCTGGATTTGCCGCATTCTTGCAATGCCTCCACGTCGTCGGCAAATGCGCTTTCGTGCCCATCGGCCTGGGGCAATCGCTGGTGCTGTCGTTCATGAAGAACAGGAAGGACAGGCGGATCTTGTAGTTGGAGGAAGTTGATGATCATGCATATCCATGTATACGAGCTGAGGGTACCACCATAGGCTAGTTATTGTCAGCAAATATAATCACCCACGATGACCAGCCAGCAGCTCTTACCCGCATCATTAAGTATCCTCCTCTTCGTCCAGTGTTTTATAATCATCGCAAGAGGCCGCACCCGAGGGTCTACCTGTACGTAGGTCTTGATCATTCGCGTATTTTCCAACGCCAATGTGTTGTTTACGTTCATGTCGCATGCGAGGCCGAGTTCCGGGTCCCAGATCTTCACGATTGGCACCTTTGCTGTCGAGACGCAGTTGACTTTCGTCATTCCATCTGGGAAGATCAGCGGTGTCCCGCTACAAGGGTTAGGCGCAACTTACTTCGGTACAGTAAATCAGCGAGCATGCAGACTCGTTCGAGCTCCTTCCACTCGGTTGTAATGCAGATGTCAACTGTTCGTGTTAGCCTTGAAAATGAGCCGTGGATTGGCGAGTCGTAGACATACCGTCAGATTCATCGGTGCAAAGAAGATTGCCCGATGACCCAAAGACATGAACTTTTATATCGTGGCCCGGCCACTCGGTATTCAGCAGATGTTCCAATTTTTGTACAAATCGTTGCCTCTTCGCCTCACTCTCGTCCGTGGGCAGCAGCTCGGCATACAGCTTCTCCATGTCCGCCGTAAGCTTCTTATCTTCATCTGGTGACAGTTTCGCCTTTATACTCGACTGCTTCGGCTGATCCAACCCCTCGCTACCAAGGCTGTAGGGCATTCGCCTCCTCGAGTGTGCCATCCCCGTCTCGTGCGTGCATCGAACCCATTTCGAGGGCAGCGATCGGTATGTCGGGAATGCAGAACTCGTCTCCGAGTAAGCAGATCGTGGGGAGTGGCTCGGTGCTGGGATCGGAGAGGGTTCTCTCGAGGCTGTCGAGAATTTCCGGGCGCGCTGGTGCGGCGTCGTAGGCACAGAGCTCGACTGCTGCGTGAGTGTCGAGTGCCGGTGTTGGGGCTGCGATCTCGACAGGTGCTGCTTCAGGGCGTCTGCTTTCTTGGGACCCATGGTGGCGAGGGTTTGTTCTGCTATGAGCGGGCGGTCGCCGTTTCCAGTAGTACTTGGTTTCTTATTCGCATGACCGAGTCTCGAGGTGCTTCGTCTTCGTTGCCTGTTTTCGTAGCCAGACGTGCCGGAACGCGGCACGGCCTGGATGTGCTGTGTGGACAGCAGTGGGGGCAGAGGTGAGGATTGCACCCTCGTGGCACGGCCAGACGTGATGAGCTTGTTGTATTGTGCAAGCTGTGCCTGGTACGACGACGTCTGTTGTGGGAGAAGGTCGGGGAAAGTTTCGATTGTTGTCGAGAGTTGTGGAGACGGCTGGATCAGAGTCGCAGGAGAGATGGGTGGTGGTGGAGCGGAGATTGCCAGAGTGTTTCGCCGGACAAGCCTTGACCACTGGGAAGAATGATATTGATGTTGAGATTGGCCCTTGTTGGACTGACCCTCCATCAAATTGGAGTTTCCCCCTGGGCAGACAGAGTATGGGGGTGCCTGTGGAGGAGAAAGGAGGTCGTTGGCAGAGTTGTGAATTATTCGAGGACCAGGATCGAGATTGAGGATCGAGATTGAGGATCGAGATTGAGGATCGGGAGGGATTGGGGTGGAGTGGAGTGGAGATGGAGTGGAGGGAGGGAGGGAGGGAAGGAGGGAGGTAGGGACGACAGAAAAGGGTAGGCGACCAGCGACAGAAAGGGCGTATAAAGGGTGAAGAGGATGTGAGGTGCAGTCAAGCCAGGTTCGTGAAATATCGGCGGAGCTAATTGTCGATGCGGGCGTATGGTTTGTTTGGAGTTGGAGTAGTTGGGAGTAGTCGAGGGTAGTCGAGGGTAGTCGAGGGTAGTTGGGGTAGTCGAGGGTAGTCGAGGTAGTCGAGAGTAGAGTGGTCTGGCGTGGATTGGATTGCAGGAGCTGGGGGGGGGCTGAATACGGGACGATCAACAAAGTGGCCCTTCTAGGAAAGAGAGAGGCACAAAAAAAAGGGTCGGGTGGTATAGGTAGGAGGTGGTAGGTAGGTAAGTTACATACAGTAGTAGTAGTAGGAACTCTTGCCCGATGTCTGCTGTCCTGTCCGCTGTCCGTTGTCCGCTGTCCGTTGTTCGTTGTTCGTTGTTCGTTGTTCGTTGTTCTGAGGTGAGGCACGCTTTGGGTGGATCGGCGAAAGGAAATATTATTGTTTTATTGTTTTTTGGGGGAGAGAAGGGGGGGAGGGGGGGAGGGGGAAGGGGGGGAGAGGGGGGGTGGCAGATAGGAGGGGGGGAATAATTTGGGGATGGGAGGGTAGTAGATAGTAGAGAGAACAGTGAGGAATCAATCAATTGAGTATTATCCTGTGGAATTGTTCTTTGTTCGACGCGATGATCGGCCTGTGTGTGGAATTGTTCTTTGTTCGAGTCGCGATGATAGCCCTGAGCTGTGTGTGGAATTAGTAGTGGTGGTGGTATGTTCTCTAAAAAGGTACAGGTAGATACAATAGAGTTTAGTATGGGGGTGGAAGTCACTTTGCTAGAGTGGGGACTGGGAAGAACTCTACCACTAGACCACTAGGCCACTGCCATCACTATCACCCTACCACCACTAGAAGACTACCACTGCCATCACTATCACCCTACCACCACTAGAAGACTACCACTATCACCACTACCAACTACCACCACTAGAAGTCTACCACTAGACCACTACCACCACTGCCATTACTATCACCACTACCAACTACCACCACTAGACCACTACCACCGCCACTCTACCACCACTAGACCACCACTAGACCACCACCACCGCTACTCTACCACCACTACCACCACTACCAACTACCACCACTAGACCACTACCACCGCTACTCTACCACCACTACCACCACTACCAAACTACTCTACCACCACTACCACCACTACCACCACTACCACCACTACCACCACTACCACCACTACCACCACTACCACCACTACTCTACCACCACTACTCTACTCTAACTTACTCTACTCTACTCTACTCTACCACCACTACTACGCATCCAGCACTTTCCACTTCACTCCTGCTTCACTCTTCACTGCCGCTTCACTCCTTCACTGCCGCTTCACTCCTTCACTGCCGCTTCACTCCTTCACTGCCGCTTCACTCCTTAACTGCCGCTTCACTCCTCCTATGCTACTCTAATGCGTGTGGTAGTAGAGGTACTTCGGGGTCCAGCATCGATCGATCCCCTCGCATTCTCTGCCCAGATTGTTGGTGGACCCCTTCCTTTCCCCTTCCCTGTCTTCCCTGGACTAACCCTTATCCACCCTGCCGCCCCTGCCGCCCCTTCCGCCCCTTCCACCCTTCCACCCCTTCCGCCCCTTCCCCTTCCACCCCTTCCACCCCTTCAACCCCTTCATTCGTTCCACCTCATTCGTTCCACGCCACACCACACCACACCACCACCACAATATACCACAACCATACCAAAATATACTATACCAACCAAATTACTTCGAAATTGTCTATATTAACACATCAATTCCCCTCAACTCTTTATTCACCCCTGATTATCTCTATTCTTGTCAACACCACCCCTCATGACCATCTGCTTCTCCGCCCACACATACACACATACATATACATACATCTATCCCTTCTGCACCCCTTTTCCTGATCTGCCTGAACGGAGAAAACCGAGGTGTCAACTTATGCGCCGCGAAATATCACATATCAATCAGCCTGGACCTCTCCCCACACACCCGCATTCCTGCCGCGCCGCACGACGGACGGGGCGAATGGAAAAGGCAGGATATGCTCCACAGGCTGCTTTGCGCTTCCAACTTCCTAGACAGCATGGACAGCATGTCTTGATGTATGTTGGCGTGAGAGGAATGCCCCTGCTCCCTGGCTGGCGAGTCACTACCAAGCCGCCTTGAAATGCTCCTCAACCCACCAGGTCTCAATGGACAGAGACCGGATGTCAGACATGGGAAAGCCGAGTGAGCTGACGGGGCTGATACAGACCTCTCCTCCGCAGCAGCAGCAAAGTCGGACATTCAATCCATCCATATTGCCGCATCGCATCGCATCGACGCTGTACTCTACTCTCCTCTATCCTATATCCCTCCCCCCTTTCCTTGGCGTATGTACAGCACCACCCCACCCCGGTCCGTCCTCTTCCCGCTGTCTCTCCGCAACCAGCTGGCACGAACCATCCCTTTACCTCATCCGTCCGACAGATCCCCTTCGTCCTCGCAGGTTATAGCGCACAGCATCCCCCATACTCATCCTGTGCCTCATCGACCCCAGACTCACCCACGCTTCACACCTCTCATCACAAGTCCCACCCATCCCTCAGACTAAACATCGCAGAACCTCTCACAGCGTAAGCACAATCACTCACAATAAAGCACCCCACGCCAGGCCAGCCACCATCTCATCGCCATCGCATCGCACGGTCCCGACACGGCCACCACCACCATCACGCCGAACCCTAGCTCATCCCCGCCTGACGGCAGTGGCGTCGTGGTAGGCTATAATCACGTGACCATCCATGGTTTTTATTTGTCTTGGTACTCCGTACACATTTTTTTACAATAAAACAGATATATGGCACGTCACATAACCCACCCCAAACAGTCCACGTGATCTGCAACCTGGCTTGGCGGCACGACGTGCACCCGGCGATCCCGGCCGATAAAGCCCGATGCGTGCGATGGATGGATGCATGCTTGGCGGCTTGATGTTATGTGCACTGGTGTTGTTGCTGCTGTCTGTTGGGTGATTGATGTACACGGCGGCGCGCGCCGCCGTGGCGCACATCGCTGCATGTTGTATGTATGCCACTAGCTGGTAGGTCTCCGGATGCGCGGGAGTCGAGAGGCAGTCGAGAGGGGCGGTGGGGGGGGATGCATGAGCTGTATGGACGCGCTGGCTGGATGGGCGCGGGCTGGATGGAGGGGATGCAGGAGAGGGGATGCAAGAGAGGACGCAGGAAAGGGGACGGAGGAGAGTACGGAAGTTTGCCGGACGGGCACGCACCGGATGCGTGGTTGGCTGGTTGCTGTCGGTGGCGGCGTGTCGGGATGTATGTTTATGGAGGATAGGTGAGGTGAGGGATTGGTCATCTGGGTGGTTGGTGGATGATTCACACGGTGAAGCCGGTTAGTGTTCGCCGTAGCACTCTACTTACAGCTCCTCATAGCTCATCGATCGAGAAGATACACAGCCCTAAGTCCTATCTATGCTCATAGGGCTGTGTACTCTTCTCGATCGATCCACCTACCACTACGTACTGTACCACCGACGACGACGGCGGCACTTACGGAAACGAGACGCACGCATAAACTGGGAGCGGATACGAGATACGCGACGCGACGATCGAGGTACTGTACTGTTTTAGCCCCATCGCTTAATCCATCCGGAGATCCCGGCAGCGCGGTTCGCACGGTGGGTGATGTACGTAACTTACTGTGTGTGCCGCCCTCGCTCCCTCCGCCTGTCGGATCCCCGGTTCCTCTCTCCCTCTCTCTCTCAAGCTACAACTTACCTACCTACCTAAAGCAGTTGGCTCTTATCAGCGGCGGTCGATCTCAGATCCAGGTCCGCGACGAAAACGGTCTCAAAGACTCACTCCCCCCCTGCTACGTCACCGACGACGCACCCCAACCACGCCGTGAAGAGCAAGGTCTGCCCGTCCGTGGCTGGCGGGTGTCTCACCCGCGCCAACCACCCCGCGCGAAAGCTTATAACGAGGTGTGCGTCCCCCGCCGGCGAGCGCTGGGCGAGGTCACAAGAGCTTCATATCTCTCTTTTTTTCCCCAATTCGAATCGTCGTGCTGTTGAACGGCTGCTGCATTGTTGGAAGTGAGAGTGGTGATATTTCAAGATTGAAGCGGGTGCGAGAGTTGGATTCGGCATGACCTTTGACGATACGACGAACCAACTACGATACCCAACCTCAATAGAGGGACGCAAGAATACCATGGCCTCACGAGACCCATCACCATCACCATCGCCATGGCGCTGGCCTTCACTTTCGAAAGATCGGTTCGTCCACCTCCTCTCCGAAACTATCCTCCCTCCCCATCCACACACTCACGTGACCCCCCTCTCAAGATAAAAACACAACTAACACCCCTCTCCAGCCTCATCACCCTCCTCGCCGCCGACCTCCTCCTCCTAACCAGCGTCCTCACCACCCTGCTCCTCCCGCACATCCCCTCACCGCTACTATACCCAGTATGGGGTCTCGCGAAGGCCTACGCGATCTACCTCCAACTTCTGGTCCTGCCGTGCCTACTCGGGATCTGGGGTGCCGTGAAGGTGTGTACTCATTCCCTCCACTCCCACACCCCCTCCATCTCCCCTTCCCACCACGCCCTCCCGCCAGTCGCAGATAAAGTGCACACAGCTAACCCCCCCACCAGGAATCACCCCTCCCAACAACCATCCTATCCACAACCCTCCTCATCGACGCCCTCCTCTCCCTCCCCCCCCGCCTCCTCCTCATCGCCTCCCTCGCGCGAGCACCAGCCCGCTGCGGCGCCCCCGGTACGCCGGCACAGGGCATAATCTGGACGGGCTGCGCGGACGCGGCGATAGGACCGATTGTTGTTGTTGTCGTTGTGGTGGTGGCCAGTGGGCTGGAGGCGTGGGGGGGGTGGTGGGTTAGGGGGTGGGGGGGGCGGTTGGGGGTTGAGCAGAGGAAGGAGCGAGAGGAGGAGGGGGAGGGGGGGAAGGAGAGGTTTTGTGATGAGGTTTAGGGGGTGTGCATGAGGATGGCGGTGGTGGTGGATGAGGGGAGGTTAAAAATTACATCGACTTGGGAATTTGGCGTGAGGTTTGAACTTTGGCGTGGGATTTGGGGGATGAGGTTGAGGCGTGGGATAGGACTGGAGAGGGATAGGACACGAGGGATAGGATGGGGTGGCGTTATTTTGCTGAGATATGCTTGCTGCTTGCTGCTGGCTGCTGGCTGCTGGCTGCTGGCTGCTGGCTGCTGGCTGCTGGCTGCTGGCTGCTTATGAATGATACCCTTCTCCGTTGCATGTCATTCGCGGGTTGTCTGTTTGGTGGGGGTGCATATGGCGCATGCTCATGCCTATATTCACACCGTGAAGTATGTGGACCGTCGACGGTATCACATCGCAGCGTACCCCATGGCATCACTCACCTCACTCTCACCCACTCTCAATGCCCCCATTCCATTCCCCAGCATCCCTCCCTCGCACTATCCCCCATTCAGTCCCATCCCTCCCGGCGGCGCTACTGTACTCGACTAGCGCGCCGCCAGTTCTGTTCTGGTGTCTGGTGGTGGTGTGTGCGCCGAGGTAAGATTGGGGAGGATTTCCTGAAGACGGACGTACCTGTACATCTTCAGCAATCTGTTTCAGTGTAGAAACTGGTGGGCGGGGTGGGGGAAGCGAGGTAGAGTGACTTCCAAGACGGTCCTTTTTTTCCGTCGAGGACGCTGGGGCTTGGCGGGGTGTGGCCGATGACGAGACACGAGGGGTGAATTTGGAATTTGGGGGGGTGGCAGACAAAGACGACAAAGACGACAAAGACGACAAAGACGACAAAGACGACAAAGACGACAAAGACAACAAACACGACAAAGACGACAAAGACGAGATGTGTGGGAGGTCATCAATCAGTCATGAATTACTCCGTAATTCACACATTCACCAGTATATGAATAATCCCAATATTCCCATTGGCTACATCATCCTTAAATGCCTCTCTCATCTCCCCCTTACTCTCTCTCTACATTCACCCCCCACTCCCTACCACTCCCTACCACTCCCTACCACTCCCTACCACTCCCTACCACTTGCTGCCTTTATTTCCCTCTTTATTTCCCTCTTTATTTCCCTCTTTATTTCCTCTCTATTTCATCTATACACACCCCCTCCACCCACCACTCTACCCTCCTCAAATTACACCCACTTTCACTCTCCTCACTCTCCCATTCACACCCCATCACACCCTTCCTTCTACAACCCTACTTCTCACTACATTCACCCCCCATCCATCACACCCCATCACCCTTTCCTTCTACAACCTTACTTCTCACTACATTCACCCCACATCCTCCATCTCTCCATCCCCCACCCCCCCTATCCTTCCTATTTTTCGTTTCTTCTTCCTTCCACCCCCCCCCCCCCGGCCCGTCCAATTCAATCTCGGTAAGTCCAAAAACCTGCAACGTTCATAACCACTGTGCACCGAAAAAAGTGTGTCCACCGCACTTATCCGTTCTGGCTCCATTCTCGCTCTCCGCAATTCAAACCACCAGCACCCAAACATTTTTCTTCTATTTCCGTTCCCCCCCCTCCGAACATTATAACCACCAACCAACGAAAACGTCACCTACTCTCCCCGTCGTTACCCTCCGACTACTCCTCTATCGAATCTACTCTCTTCCTCTCTCTCTCTCTCCCTCTTCTACCTCTCCGTCGCCCTCCTTCGACTCTCCCACTTCGACCTCCCGTCACCTCCCACCAACCTCAACCTCATCTCCCGTGCGCGCGCTTCCGTCTCCGTCCCTCCCGCTCGGCTATGTCTTACTACGATAACCAGCAGTGGCCAGCCACCGCCGCCGGTCAGGCCACCTGGGAACACCAGACCCCCCCCGCGAGATCAGGTAAGGAGGACCACCCTGCCGCCCCTCCAGTTCGCCGGAACGGATGATGGATGATGTCGCTGACTTATGCTCTCCACAGGTGCCAGCTCCGTCGCGCCGCGCGAGGACTCAACCGCCTTCGGCTCCCAGTTAGAGGGTACGTTCGCAACACCCCAAGACCCCTATACAACACAATATACCTCGTGGAAAAAATATGACCGAGACGGTTACGGCGCAGCAGATGGTCGGATGCTGTATACGCGGCGTACCGGCTGTTGCGCTACGCCATGGGATCACCACTTCGAAATAAAGTTCAGGGGCTAATACTATACCAGAGGTCGACCGTGCGGTCGAGAATCTCTTCAAGAGCGGGAAGGCCTTCAGCGCTCCAGCCCGCCGGGACTCCGCGCCCCTCGGCGCACCCGCACGCTCGTTCCCCGATCAATACTGTGCGTCCCCCTTGCGTCCCCCTTCCTTCCTCTCCCTGCCTACTACGGAACCAGCCACTAACCCCTCCTCTAGCCGGTCCACCTCGCCACAACTCCGTAAGCGTAGGCGCCGGCGGTAACGACTTCAGCGGCGACGCGCGCTCCTTCTCGGCGTCGAACCTGCAGTCCTTCTACGCGACGCAGCGGCACCAGCCGGCCCGCGGCGCCAGCGAGGCCGAGCAGGTGCTCCAGGCCAAGAGGCGCATGGCGGCGCAGCGCGAGCGCGAGCTCCGCAACTACCACCAGGAGCAGCAGTATAACCGCAGTAGGCCTCCCTCTTCTCTCGAGTAATCGGAATGGCATTTTTTCCCTCTCCCTCCTCTTCTTCACAGATGGTGGCTGGCTTTGGCTTTCTTTGGCGGTTTCCTTACGGTTTCCTTTGTGGCGAATGTGCACGCATGTCTTCTCTTACCTCCACTGTTTCCTAGGCGTGTTCCTAGGCATGTTCCTAGGCATGTTCCTAGGGGCCACTGCCTCCCATTTCCTTTTCTTCCAATCCCCCATTTCTCCCCGCCGCCAGCCCCAATAACCGCTCCCTGTCTCCCTCATCCGCCTCCCCTTTCTCTCCACACGCCACTTCACCCCACCACAAAAGAACACAAACGCTGACATCCCCGCAGCCGCCCTCGCCGAACTCTCCGCCTTCGGCACCAAGCCCGACCGAGCCCTCTCCCCCTCCACGATGTCCAACGACTCGCGCCGCGATCTGATTGCCCGCCAGCGGTCCGCCCTCTACGGCGACTCCACCTTCTCCGAGGGCTCCTTCGTCGATGAGAACGGCGTCACCCGCCAATCCACCCCCGCCCAGCCCGGCCGTGGCCACTCCCCTCTTGCCTTTGAGGCACCCGCCCACAAGGACGCCGCTGCTGGCGCAGTAGGCACCCCCGCCGAGGAGCGCTCGAGCCCATTCGAGAACCGCGGCTCGAGCGGATCCCCGGCTGCTAACTCGCCGCCGAACGCAAAGGGACAGTCTGGCAGCGTGGCGCCAATCGGCACCCGCCCAGCGGCAACTACTGCCAACTCTAGCAACTCCACCGCTACCACCGGCACCACTACCCCCACCACCTCCACCGCGGCGCCTAACCAAGCAACCGCCCAAAAGGGCCGCACTACCCCCCTCCCCTCTCCGCTGAGCTACGGCTTCGGCGCCCCAGCGGCACAGGAGAAGAGCGAGGATGCCAGGGATGGCGCTGCGAACGCGCAGGCCGGTAATGGAAACGGTAACGGAAACGGCGGCATGGGATGGGGCAAGGGCGCTGGTGGCGGCGTATGGGGCAAGGGCTCCCTCGCCGTGCAGGCCAGCGTCTGGGGCTAGATGCTGCGTGTAAGAGAACTTGATTCTATCGGTGTCTGGGTTTTCTCACTGCGTACCTGGATGGTATGGGGGTATACGGGAGTCGACTTGTTTTGTTTGTTTGGGCCTGGATATGGCGGGGTGTAGGTCTCTTGTCGTCTGGTTTGTTTTTGGCTGCGATTGCCGGACGGATGGGGTGTCTGTCTGACTCGGTCTCTTCCGAGACTACCTTTTTAATACGGGATGGTGACTGCTGGTGGGGTGGATTTTTTATCTTCTTTATCCGGGCGCGTCGGTGTGCGTGGTGGAGGGGTGCTGTCATTGTCACGGGGAGTCGGTGAGAAAGAAGCAAGCAGCATGGGCGGAAAATGGGGAGGTGGAAAGGAGACAACGTATAGTAGAAACGGAGGGGCATGGAAATCTGGGTTATAGGGATAGGGATTTGCACAGCGGGAATGGGATTTCATTTTGTTTTTTATCGGGTTGTTTTGGGAATTTGGGGATCTTTGGGCTGGGCTTTGTTTTTTGGGGGGGATTGTTGGGGATACTAAGGCGGGGGGTACATATTACGTCGTCCAAGGTGGACCTTTTTTAAGAAACAACAAAAAAATAAGGATATTTTCGGGATTTCTGGGGTTCTCTTTTCTCTTGGTCAAGATGGGAGTTTGGAGGTGAACATGGGAGTGCTGGCGGTGATCTGATGGGTTGTCTTGGTCAGGGTTTTTAGGTATGAGAGACTATTTCTGGTGCATGTGAGGCCTGGGAAGGGCGATCGAGGGTCTGCAGTGTGTATTGTAGAGTAGATGATACTCATTCTGTAAGCATCTGGTACTCATTATCTGCAATCCACTCTGCTGCTCTCCGGTTGATATCCGGGACATCCTAGGAAATATATTTGGCCTTCTCGGAATAAAGCTTTTCCGCCTCTGCTCTCCGAACAATTTCGTTGGACTCTTATTTTCTCTTGGCTTAGTCATACTAATCCCTTGGCTTAGTCATAAAACACATCATCGGGCTCTGACGCACACTCCGGCGTGTGGCTAGATTTCTTGGGACCCCGCCAAAGCTTATCTACTATCGGCAACAGGGAAAAACGAAATGCTTCGACTTTCCATTTTGTGCTTGATAATCAGCGAATCCTGACCAAACTTCCTCTCTCTTTAACCCTTCCACCGTTTGTCTCCTCTTGAATTTCAAAAAGTGCACTTCAAAAGGGCACATATCCTCTGTTGACATCCATCACTCTGCAAAGACTGTTCATACTTTTCTCAAAACAACCCCGCCACCATCGCAAATATGTCAGCCGCCAACCCCTACAATGAGAACCTCTCCGACTCCGAGCCCGCCATGCTCGACGAAGATGAGGCCCTCGAGGAAATCGCCGGCGAAGATGACACAGCCATGGACTCCGGCGACGACGCCGGTGAGGACGCAGACGGCGACCAAGCAATGGAAGAATTCACGCTCCACAACGACAGCGTCGGTCACTTCGACAACTTCCGCGACTCCATCTTCTGCATCGCAGCCCATCCCACCGTCCCCTCCCTCATTGCCACCGGCGGCTCCGACGGCGACGACGCAGGCGGAATCGGCTACCTCTTCGACTCCACCCCCGCCGACTCCCCTGTCCTCCCCGAAAGCTACCAGACCCAACCCGCTGAGCGCACCGAGCGCAAGGGCATCGACGCCATCTCCACCCTAGACGGACACACCGACTCCATCAACGCGCTCGCCTTCACGCTCCCCGCCGGCGCGGCCCTCCTCTCCGGCGGTCTCGACGGCGCTCTCCGCGTCTGGGTCCCGTCATCCCCTGCTAAACCCCTCTCCCCCTGGACCCTCCTCACCTCCGCCACCGAAGTCGACGAAATCAACTGGCTCTCCGCATCCCCCTCCCCAGACCACCCCAACACCTTCGCCCTCGGCGCCGCCGACGGTTCCGTCTGGGTATACACCGTTGACACCTCCGCACCCGCCGCCGACGCCCTAACAATCATCCAAACCTACTTCGCGCACACCACGCCCTGCACCGCCGGCGCCTGGTCCGCCGACGGCAGCGTCCTCGCCACCGTCTCCGAGGAAGGCAGCCTCTACGTCTGGGCCCCCTTCAGCAACACCAGCTCCCAAGCCATCGTCTCCCTCACCGCAGCCGACGCGCGCTTCGCCGTCGAAGGCGGCCTATTCAGCGTCGCCATCGCCCCATCCGGATCCTACGTCGCCGTCGGCGGCGCCGGCGGCGCCATCAAGATCGTTGGCCTCCCCAAGCCCGGCGCCGCGCCAGCAAAGGGCAAGAAGACCGGTGGACCCGGCGGCGCGACGCAGGCGGGTGTTATTCTCGCCGATTTGCGCGCGCAGTCGGATAGTGTGGAGAGTCTGACGTTTGCGCCGCCGCCGTCGACGGTCATGGCGGCGGGGAGCGTGGATGGGAGTATTGTGCTGTTTGACGCGGCGAGGAGGTTTGCGGTGAAGAGACATATTCGCGAGGCGCATGCGGAGGATAGTGTGGTCCAGGTGGCATTTATGGCGAGGGACCCGAAGGTGCTGGTTAGTAGTGGGATGGATGGGGTGGTGAGGAGGTGGGATACTGGTGGTGCGGGTGTGGGACAGAGTGGGTTGGTTGGGGAGTGGAGGGGGCAGGGGGGTGGGGTGCTCGCGTTTGTGGGGAGTGGAGGACGGGTGGTGACGGCGGGGGATGATGGGGTTGCATTGGTTTTTGAGGAGAGGTAGTAGGGTGTGAGGGGGGATTGGTGGAGTTTAGTTTTTTTATATAAGAGAATGGATAGATGGATGACTACTTTTTTCATGACAATCTTTAACATCAGACCCGTTTACCACACTTACTTTCGGCCTTCGAAATCAGGCTGTATTCAGAATAGTGGCCGTAGCAAAAGTCCTCGAGGTAAACCTGATAAGATTAAGACAATAAGCATACCATGCCACATACAAAGAAGACAGGGAGCTAATGAGACGAGGTCAAGGGAGATGTATCAAGCTGCTTTTAAAGAGGCCAGGAAGTTAGTCTAGGCGTCAAGATGCCGAAGAACACGGATACAGCGTGCTCAGCCACTGATTGAGGCTATGGAGAAGTGCCTCTACGACTCGAACCCCGATAACGACGAGGGGGTGGGCTATGAGATTGGCTACGTTGTCGTCATTCACAATGCCACCTAAAACCCCTGTCGCCGTTGCTCTCCTACCACCGGTGCCTTGTCACTGTCACTGTTCTGCCGTCGTTGACCACCTGTCACCTTCATCCCTCTTACAGCAGACCACTCCATAAAGTAAAAACGAAAAGATATATGTTGAAGCAAACTCAGTCCCGCAGACGCCTACATATCTATCCGGAATGTGCCTTCTATCACCTCAGCATTCCCCGCTGTGAGGGTAATGGCTACTCTGCTGGGATGCTGAGCGATGGACCTACGGTGAGTTTGTTGAGGTCGAAGTCGTCATGAGAAATGGCATCATTAAGTTTAAAGTATGCCACCGATCTCATGGCATGCAAGGGTGTACATATCAAAAATATCTTCTTTCCGCTCGTTGAGTATCGGGTTGTTCTTTGCATAAGTTAATGAACCGAAGAATACGGCTTTGCAGTGTTTAGAGGGGCGACAGTTACGGGAGGGCGACGGTGACAGGAGGACAAACGGCGACGAGGACTGTAGTGGCGACTGCCAACGATGTAATTGATGTATATCCCGGGTTTGCCGTCTCATTTCCTCGTTCTTTCCCATACACTCACTCCTCGAGGCAAGTACAGCTACTATATATTCATTTATAAATCCAGTCATCTCTCATTTCTTTTGAATAAATCAACCCCACCCCTACAACCTCCCCCCCGCCTTCCTCCTATCCTCCTTCTCCTTATCCCTCAACAACCTCCTCAAAATCTTCCCACTCGGACTCTTGGGAATCACATCAATAAACTCAACTCCCCCCGCCAACCACTTATACCGACTCTTATTCGCTTCCACATACTTCGCAATATCACGTTTAACAATCTTATCATTATCCTCAATCGACACCCTCGACGACTTAACCACATACGCGCGAGGAACCTCGCCAGCACGATCATTCGGCACAGGAATCACAGCTGCATCCGCAACAGACGGATGCGAGAGGAGAAGAGCCTCCAGCTCAGCTGGTGCGACTTGGTGTCCCTGGTCTCGTTAGACGGGGATATATGGGGATTACGTCAGTAAGTAGTGGGGACTTACATTGACCTTGATGAGCTCCTTAATCCGCTCCGTAATAGTGATATGCTCATTCCCACTCGGCGCGACAGAAACGATCGCCACGTCCCCCGTGCGAATCCAGCGCCCCTTTCCATCCGTGTCGGGGAGGAAAGTCTCCGCGTTCGCGGCGGGGTTGTTGAGGTATCCCAGCACGACGGAGTGGGATTGCACGAGTAGCTCTCCCTCCTCGTCGTGGGCTGTGACTTCGGAGCCGTCGGGGCGCACGATCTTGACTGTGAAGCCCGGGAGCAGGTGGCCTGCGGAGCCGAACCAGACGTCCTCTTCTGTCGTGAGGCACACGCCTGTGCACGTCTCGGTCATTCCGTAGCCTTGGCGGATAAGCCAGGTCGGGTGCAGTTTCGCGAGGTCGCGAGCCGTGGACTCGCCGAGGGGGGCGGCGCCGGTGAAGATTGATTCTACGGAGGTGAGGTCGTAGCGGGAGGAGATTTGGTGGGCGTTGATGAGACCGATGACGATGGGAGGAACGATGAAGAGGACGCTGATCTTGTATCTAGGTTGGGTAAGCCGCTATGTTCTGTTGCAGGGTGGATGGGGTGGTGCGCACTCTTGGATGGCTTGGAGTAAGGTCGCCAGCTCGAACTTGGGGAGCACGATGGTCTCGTCGCCGCGGAATGCGCCGGTCAAGCAAATGATTACGAGGCCGTAAATGTGGGAGAATGGGAGAAGGCCCAGGGCTACATCTCGGCGTGGCCCTCCTTTAGGCCCCTTTCCGGCGCGAGCGAATTGTTCGTGAAGGGTTATCTGGATGATGTTCGTGATGCAGTTCCGGTGGGAGATCATGACTCCTTTCTGCGGTTTTATTAGCTATGGGTAATAGAAAATTGAGGGCAACGACGGCTTACTGGTAATCCGGATGTGCCACTTGAGAAGCATAGGAACGCGGTTTGTCTCTCACCTTGGCCCTGGGTCCATTTCGAGGACTCAATAGCTGGCAAATGCTTACCCTGCTCGATGAGCTCTCCTACAGTCTTGAATGGTACCTTCTTGCCACCTGTGAACGCATCTGGCATTTCCATTATGTAGACATGCTTTTCTGGGATTCCAACAATTTTTGCCGCCTGCAGAGCATTTTCGAGGAGAGGGATGCAGGTCTGAGTCTTGGGTTAGCCAAGGCTCCAATTGGGGTGAGACGTGGGGTAACTCACAAAAATGGCTTTCGCGCCTGCGAATTTTAACTGGTATCCAAGCTCGGCAGCTGAGTACGCTGCATTGGCGGGTGAGGCAATTCCATTAAGGTAATGAACCGCGAATGATACTGTCAGAGTATCGACCTAGAGGTTGATATGGTTAGTTATCGCTCCTCGAGAGTTTTGCAAACTGCATATCGAGTACGTCCAGCCAGAATCGGTGTATAGCGCACAGTATTCAAAGTATAAATGCCAATGATTTTCTCCCACTCTGTCCCCTGGTTGACCTCGAATCCCAGCTCCTGGCGAAGAGCTCTGGCAAGCCAGCCGATCCTGTCTTTCCACTCCAATGACGTATATGTCGTCCCTGACAAGCCGCACGTGAATGGATTCCTCGCCTGTTCATGGGGCACCGATCGGTATTTGTTGTCCAGTACGAAATCCGGCAGCGAAACGGTGTCAGGAACGTCTATCATTCCTTGGGTTAGCCATTGGTCCAAGCTGGGTAGATAAGTCTTCGGGGGCATACCAAGCATTGCTGGGGAGCTTGCTGGCGGTATGAAGACCATCTTGGGTAGAGATCTTCGGAGCAAGTAGAAACCGGTGAAAACAGATAGACAGATGGCGTAGAAAGACGAAGAGAACGAAGCTGAAATATACAAGTGGCCATAGAAGGATAGGACATATATTTGGAGGATCTCCACAGCATTCTGAGCTACCCGTCAGGTTGACGCAGCCATTTGATTGAGTATCCGTGCCGAGGCGCTGAGGAGACAAGATCCAACTAATCTAATCTATACTGTCGTATGGCCAACCCCTGCCGCATCGTTGGATCTTACGTGCTATAATTGATTGGCTATTAAATGTCAAAATTTGTGATTGGCTGCATTAGTCTGCGACCCACTTATCGGGGTCTAATGTGTTCGGGGCCTAATAGAGCTGTAACAGTAACATATTTGGTAAGGCGTACCTAATGCCAAGGTGCCCACTCCGGCCCCACGTGCCCAAATAAGAAAGGGGACTGTCACAGTGTGACAGAACTCTGTCGCACTGTAACAGAGCCATTTCTAGCCTAGTAAATTGTAATGGTGGGTGCACCAGATATGAGAATCTAGCCACCCAAGGAAGGGATGATTTTACTAAGACAACACACTGTCTTAGAAAACAGAGCCAAAGGGTCGTAGCTTAGACTATTCCACAACGCAGCAATCAGGTGTGTGATGTAGTGAAGTGGTTCAGACAAGTTGCAACAAATGTTGAGTCTGGGAACTCAGGGGTAAGTCAGAGGTTAACACCTCACTGACTTTTCAGAAACAAGGAGTAACAAGATGAATGCTTGGAAGCTTGGAAAAGACGTGGAAGTATGTGATAGTCGATTTACTGTATTGTCTGCTTGCCCTTTCTTAAGGAAAGGGCAATCCTATTTATGCTAAAGGAGTGTAGTTCTCTCATTTTCCAAGACTTTCCATGACTAACCAGGCTTGGTAACTGTAGTCGACATAAGAGAATCCCATAGAACCATCTCTTAGGTTCGTAGCCTATAGGAAGTAAAAGGAGGTCCAAGGTCAGAGTACCCCTATAGACAAATTATGTCATAGACAAATTATGTCATAACTTAACCAATCTTGTGGGTAACTAAAGAGCGATGACATGTAATGAATTATAGAGGTCCGTAGGAGCTTTTAGAGCTATCGTTCATGCTCCTAGGCCTTTAGTTGGTAGAGATATGTCATGTGGTAGTATGAGTGATGTCATGTAATGAATCATAGAGGGTGTGCTATGTGGTAATATCGGCCCAGTAACTAAGGAGCGATGACGTGTAATGAATTATAGATGGTTGTAGCAATCGTTGAGTAGTATTGCTCTTGTTGTTGGTGTGATAAGCCAAAATATGTATAGTGACTTGTAGGTTTGAGGAGGAGATTTCCAAGTTTGCTCTTGAGTTTGATAGCAAACTGAGTGCAACGAATGTCAGTATGACAGCTTGCCACACTTGAAACAGTTTCCTGAGGGCCAGGCCCGAGTCCCCTCCGACACAGGGTCTTCCCCCACCTAGGCCCCGTAGGCCGCCCCAACTTCCCCGTCCTCCCCCTCCCTCCTTCCATCACCCTGAGTCGGAGCGACCGCGGGAGCGGCAGCGGTGGGCAGTTTGCCCACAGCAGCCACCAACTCCCCCAAGAGAGCAGGGACGCTCTCCTGTTCCATCCGGAGACAGCGCAGCGACGACCGAATTTGCTGCCCAGAGTCAGCATCGAAACCACACCGAGTCCCAAGGGGAAGGGGGTCTACTCACGGCCAGCCCCAACTCGAGGGCAGCCTGAGTGGAGCGTGCCTCCTCGTAGAGGTCATGCTCCGCACACTCCTTTAGCATAAAAGGATTGCCCTTTCCTTAAGAAAGGGCAAGCAGACATGTCATACTGACATTCGTTGCACTCAGTTTGCTATCAAACTCAAGAGCAAACTTAGAAATCTCCTCCTCAAACCTACAAGTCACCATACATATCTTGGCTTATCACACCAACAACAGAAGCAATACTACTCAACGATTGCTGCAAACTCTTCTACTACATCTGTTTATGCTACATACATCACGGCATATCATTTGGACACTCATTGAACAAGTTATTAAGAAAATCTCCTCCTTAAGGGGGTGGGCCAATACTACCACATGGCATATCTCTACCAACTAGAGGCCTAGGAACATGAACGATAGCTCTAGAAGCTTCTACAACCCTCTATGATTCATTACACGTCATCGCTCCTTAGTTACCCACAAGATTGGTTAAGTTATGACATAATTTATCTATAGGTACTCTGACCTTGGACCTCCTTTTCACTTCCTATAGGCTAGGAACCCAAGAGATGGTTCTATGGGATTCTCTTACGTTCACTACATGATTAGCAAGCTAGTTGTGGGTCGCACTTGATTTCTAATACATTTACCAAGCCTGGTTAGTCATGGAAAGTCATGGAAAATGAGAGAACTACACTCCTTTGGCATAAATAGGATTGCCCTTTCCTTAAGAAAGGGCAAGCAGACAATACAGTAAATCGACTATCACATACTTCCACGTCTTTTCCAAGCTTCCAAGCATTCATCTTGTTACTCCTTGTTTCTGAAAAGTCAGTGAGGTGTTAACCTCTGACTTACCCCTGAGTTCCCAGACTCAACATTTGTTGCAACTTGTCTAAACCACTTCACCACATCATACACCTGATTGCTGCGTTGTGGAATAGTCTAAGCTACAACCCTTTGGCTCTGTTTCCTAAGACAGTGTGTTGTCTTAGTAAATTCATCCCTTCCTTGGGTGGCTAGATTCTCATATCTGGTGCACCCACCATTACAAGACAATACAGTAAATCGACTATCACATACTTCCATGTCTTTTCCAAGCTTCCAAGCTCAGACTCAACATTTGTACAACTTGTCTAAACCACTCCACTACATCACACACCTGATTGCTGCGTTGTGGAATAGTCTAAGCTACGACCCTTTGGCTCTGTTTTCTAAGACAGTGTGTTGTCTTAGTAAATTCATCCCTTCCCTTGGGTGGCTAGATTCTCACATCTGGTGCACCCACCATTACACGTAGCAAGGAAGCCTAGAGGGGCGCTAGCATTTAGGGTGCTAGGGATGGTAGGGAAGGCCTTTGTAATGGTGGGTGCACCAGATATGAGAATCTAGCCACCCAAGGAAGGGATGAATTTACTAAGACAACACACTGTCTTAGGAAACAGAGCCAAAGGGTTGTAGCTTAGACTATTCCACAACGCAGCAATCAGGTGTATGATGTAGTGGAGTGGTTTAGACAAGTTGTACAAATGTTGAGTCTGAGCTTGGAAGCTTGGAAAAGACATGGAAGTATGTGATAGTCGATTTACTGTATTGTCTGCTTGCCCTTTCTTAAGGAAAGGGAAATCCTATTTATGCCAAAGGAGTGTAGTTCTCTTATTTTCCATGACTTTCCATGACTAACCAGGCTTGGTAAATGTATTAGAAATCAAGTGCGACCCACAACTAGCTTGCTAATCATGTAGTGAACGTAAGAGAATCCCATAGAACCATCTCTTGGGTTCCTAGCCTATAGGAAGTGAAAAGGAGGTCCAAGGTCAGAGTACCTATAGACAAATTATGTCATAACTTAACCAATCTTGTGGGTAACTAAGGAGCGATGACGTGTAATGAATCATAGAGGGTTGTAGAAGCTTCTAGAGCTATCGTTCATGTTCCTAGGCCTCTAGTTGGTAGAGATATGCCATGTGGTAGTATTGGCCCACCCCCTTAAGGAGGAGATTTTCTTAATAACTTGTTCAATGAGTGTCCAAATGATATGCCGTGATGTATGTAGCATAAACAGATGTAGTAGAAGAGTTTGCAGCAATCGTTGAGTAGTATTGCTTCTGTTGTTGGTGTGATAAGCCAAGATATGTATGGTGACTTGTAGGTTTGAGGAGGAGATTTCTAAGTTTGCTCTTGAGTTTGATAGCAAACTGAGTGCAACGAATGTCAGTATGACATCTAGTTGATCCTAATAGGGCTCTCGCCTGATTTAGAGAGTAGAAGGTCTGCCGTTTCTTATATAGCTTGTAGCTAGGGTAGAAATCGACATGAATCTAGGTTAAGAATTGTACTAAACAAGAGCTGACTCTTCGTACGAAGTTAAGTTCTTTGACTTAGGGGTAGAGTTATGTTAGGAAGTTATTCTATTCATTCTGTTACTTAGGGTCTTACGGTAGCACGTCAAATGTCAATGTAGCAGCTTAGACACTCTTAAATTAATGTTCCTTTAGTGCCTAGATAGCTAGAAGTAGTCTACCCTCTTAAATATAGGATTGCGCTTATGTTAGTTATAGCATGTTGTCTATAGTTAAGTTGACGCGTTTTGGTGTTTCAGTATGCAACTCACTTGTGTAGGCAACTCGCTAATGAAATATGTTATTACATTTATACACTAATACTATAAAGGGGCTCAAATTGTAATGATGATGATGATGATGATATTTATTTACATCTAGTATGACGCAGGTGTAACCTGCGGCCCTAAGACCTCCTAAAGGGTATAGAGACGTGCTAAGCTATAGGTTTATATATAGAGTATGACCTTAGAGAGCAGTTCTTATTTGTTTGCTAAGCGCCTTCCCTGCTAGTTGGGATGGTGTTAGGTTTGCTAGTAGATGGTAGTGCCTCGGAGGTTCTCCCGAAAGGGGGTGTATACGGGACTAGTTAGTCTGATGTTATAAGTCACATGAGTGTGGTATGTAGTGTGCCCTGCGGCCTTGCTGCGGAGTAGGGGCTCAAATTGTTAGGAGGTAGTTGGCTTATTTAGCCGGCTCTTCTTAACCTTGCTACATCACCAACTTCAGCACTCTTCAAGCTGTTGCCTAGGCTTCATCAGACAGGAAATCAACAGGATCAGAAACTCCGCGCGTCGTCGGATATGTCAGATGAGATAGATCGACGAATATTATGTGGTTGGTTTGTAACTGATCGGATGCTGCAACAGGCTTTCCAAGCTTCATGCGTTGTGCCAAGCTACCAAACAGAGAGAACGCCTAGGAAAACCACAACATATGACGGAATATGGGGGCCATCGGGAGCTTATCGTGGGAATAAAACACGAGCGATTTGGACGATTAGCTTAATGTGCTGCCCGGTTGGAGCCTTCCTAGCTACTTAGCGCCGTGTGCTTGCTAATGCTCCAGTTCTCGGGATGCGATCATGGTGTCTCAAGGGTGCAGGGGGTGGCTAGTCCCGGTCGCCGACACTCCTCAGTCGCACTCTGGTCTAAAAACCTTGAACTTCATGAGCTGAGCCATCCTCCATCCCTCTATCAATATTTGCGCCATATAGATCGTGGGCTTGCGTTTGTAATGCATCCGACAGCCGGTGACTCCGAAGAGTCATGCGGTCACAGGCTTTATCCTCAGCCAAAGGCTCTTTCAGTTTATTGGGAATCCCGAGCGGCCAGCGGCACAACTCACAGTTGCAATCCTTTCAATCCGTTGGTAATCTAGGGTCGTAGTGCTGATAGTCCTCGTCATCCGTATCACTTTCCTCCGTTACGTCCCTCACGGTCTTGACTTCCTTCGTGACCACCTCCTCCCTCTGCACAGCCTCAGCTTCGTTCTTCTGCTCCTCTGGTTCAGCAGGTGTAAACGCGCTCTTAAACCCTGACTTCTTGAATCCCCCCTTCTTAGGCGCACCAGCTGCATTATCCCCGCCTAGCTTTATACTGATAAGGCCACTGCCTGCATTCGCTTTCGCCTCTGCCTTTCTAGCTTTCGTAGACGCCATGGGGTCGCGCGTTAGCTGCTTCATGTCTCGTAGGCGCTGCTTATGGGCATGGTCGTAGGAGGATAGATGGGCTTCATAGTCGGGCATGCGCGAGTAGCCTTTAGTGCAGAGCTCACAGTAGAACGATATCGCCGCTTCCCGCGCGGATTCGGTTTTGGGAGCTGGGTTTTGAAAGCCGCGCTGGTTCTTATGTTAGCAGAAACTATTGCAGATATTGTAATTGGGGGTCAACATACTGGAGGCATGATTGCGTGTTTATAGCGTCCAATTTTTGAATTGGGGAAAGAGTGAATCTCCAAACGCGATTTAATGGCGGGGCCTTGCCGCCAGGACCGAGCTTAGCACGGCTAGCACCAAACAGGCACAAGTGCAACCTTAACTACACCCCGGATTTTGAGCTTATCCGCAGTGCCGGACATCAATTCCATCCCACCAGTTGCGACGGCTGTATTACTATTCACATAGTTTACAACCTACACAGTGCAAGATGGAGCGGCAAAACTCCGCCGTAGAGGCGTCCCAAGAAACTCTCATATCATTACAACAACTCGAACCGTCGCCTGTCGAGTCGCCTCTAAACCTCGACAAACAACTTCCCGATCTTCCTAATGAAGTCCTAACCCCCCACCACGGAGTTGGGACTCTTGGTCTGAGCGGCTTCAATAATGGCTATGGCACTGTATATTACTGTAAGCTCCTCCCTCTTTCCTCCGCCCCTCGAGATCCAGACTAACAACTCCCACAGTAACCCGCCTACAAAAATACTCCACCTACGCCTTCTCTCTCTTCGCCGCCATGCACATAACCAATACCTCTCTCCTCCCGCTCGTCACCCGCTCCCTCCCTGATGCCGACAAATACCTCCTCCTAACGCGCCCTTTCTACCAATCTTTCCCCATGGAAGCCGCCCTCATCATCGCGCCGCTTCTCACACACGTCCTCTCTGGATTCGCGCTGCGTGTGCACCGCCGAAACGCGACCCTCAAGCGCTACGGCGCCTCGAACCTCTCCGTCGCGAACAGGTTGCAGCAGCGCCTGCGCATCTGGCCGGGCTTCAGCTGGCAGCAGCTGGGGGGTTATGCGCTTGTTGGGCTGGTGGGGGGGCATGCGTATGTCAACCGCGTCGTGCCGCTGATCCATGAGGGGAGCAGTGCGGGGGTGGGACTACAGTACGTGGCGCATGGGTTTGCGAGGCACCCATTTCTGGCGTGGTCGGCGCAGGTGGCGCTGGTGGGGGTTACGGCTGGGCATGTGGTGTGGGGGTGGGCGAGGTGGATGGGGCGGGCTGGGGCGGTGGATCAGAAGACGGCAAGAAGGAGGTTTTGGACTATCAATGGTGTTGTGGCTGCGGTTGCAGGTATTTGGGCTGCTGGTGGATTTGGTGTCGTTGCTAGAGGTGGGTTGACTACAGGGTGGGTGGGAAAGGGATTTGATGAGCTGTACAAGACGATTCTGGGTTTGGGTTTGTATATGTAAAGATTTGGATATTATGGATGAAGATATATTGGGTTACGAGAAAAGGGAGTCTGGAAGCCTGATATATTATAGAAATAAGATGAGAAGATTTTTACGATCCAATCTCCCACAAGCCATGTATTCTAATGTAGAGAATTCTCATATAGTTCTAGTACGGCCAATTTTTTTTTCCAAACCTGATAAGAGACCGGACTAGAAGTTAAGAAGCGCTTTGCACTGTCATCTGGTTAGATGTACTCCATAGATTGGAAACACATACACAACAACTCGGCTCGGTTCACCTTCCCCTCTCCCTACCCCCAAGCACCTCCCCCCATCTTCATAAACTCTCGTAAGAAAAGTTTAGTCTACCTTTCGAAGCAACCGAGTACACTTGTTCTCTATTGTGACAAAAAAAGCTAAAATGGTAGTCAGACCCCATGGTGCTTTTGGGAACAAATCACAAGCTATCAACAGCTTTTCATCCCCAAACAGACAGTCAAACAGAAAGACTGAACCAAACCCTTGAACAATACCTACAGAGTTATGTCAATCACCAACAGGACAATTGGGTTCAGATATTACCTATCACACAGTTCGCATATAACAGCGCAATGACTGAAGCAACAAAAGTCTCACTGTTAATTATGGCTATCAGCCGGAGGCATATAGACAACCACAACCGGATGAATCAAGAGCAGAACAAGCTATGATTGCTGTGGAACAACTGAAATCGTTCCATGAACAACTCGTGACAGATATACAATTCTTAAATGAACGATCTGCCGCATATGCAAACAAGAAGCGCAGTATGGAACCTGCCTTCAAGGAGAGGGATAAAGTATATCTACTCCGGAGACATATCAAAACGAAACGACCAAGTACGAAGTTGGACTTTAAGAAATTGGGACCATTCAAAATATTGAACAAAGTCAGCTCAGTTAATTACAGACTGCAGCTACCCAAGAAGTCTAGACTACACCTAGTATTTCATGTCTTACTACTAGAACCAGCAAGAGGAAACACCCTTATTGCGACTGACACGGAACTCTAACCAGAAAACGAGATCGTTGAATATGAAGTCGAAGCGATTCCAGACAGAAGGTTAGTAGGGCGCAAAGAAGAGTTTTTGATAAAATGAAAAGGTTATGAACCTACGGACAATTCATGGGAAACGGTAGAAAACCTTAGCTGTCCAGAGCTGCTAGAGGCATTTCACCATCGCCATCCCAGCAGTCGAAGAATCCAGAAGGCAAAGATGGGAAGAGATTACACTTCGAAGCATCGCCCTCGGAGGTAGCCTCAGAGGCAGTTAGGAGAAGGGAACGAGCCTCAGCTTCATGCCGCTCGCGCTCCTCCAGCTCCTCCAACTCGTCTAAGGATTTCAGACCATGACGCAGCATCTCAACACCGCGGGTTTTGAGAGCTTTCTGCTGTTTGGGAAGACGCATGTGACAGGCATATGCTTCTTGAGTGCAGAGGTGAGCCTCACGCTCTTGAGATGCCGCTGCTTCCTCTTCGGCCTCAAGACGCCCTTCTTCTTTATGAAGCTTCTCCCAATCAGTAGGAAAAGGGGTGCAAGCGTTGCATTTGGAATTGCGACGAGTACATTCACTACAATGACAATTACCAGCAACAAAGATACAAGGTCGTTTGTTATGAAGACAGCTGGACCATGGCGACATCAGGTTGCCATTCTTTTAAATATGGTGAAGAAGATGACGTTCTTTGATTTTTGTGTGTCTACCAGAAGACATGATAAACAGTGCAACTGCTTGGCAATTAAGTGGGAATCACTGTCATACTGACATTCGTTACACTTGTAATGGTGGGTGCACCAGATGTGAGAATCTAGCCACCCAAGGGAAGGGATGATTTTACTAAGACAACACAGTGTCTTAGGAAACAGACCCAAAGGGTCGTAGCTTAGACTATTCCACAACGCAGCAATCAGGTGTATGATGTAGTGGAGTGGTTTAGACAAGTTGTAACAAATGTTGAGTCTGAGAACTCAGGGATAAGTCAAAGGTTAGCACCTCACTGACTTTTCAGAACAAGGAGTAACAAGATCAATGCTTGGAAGCTTGGAAAAGACGTGGAAGTATGTGCTAGTCGATTTACTGTATTGTCTGCTTGCCCTTTCTTAAGGAAAGGGCAATCCTATTTATGCCAAAGGAGTGTAGTTCTCTCATTTTCCAAGTCTTTCCATGACTAACCTGGTTGAGCCAGGGCTGCATCATGTCCAGGGTTGCATCATCTCGCCTTCTTAGCACCGTGGCAGTTGCCTTACCCACCTAGAGGGGCCACAGAATTCGTGGTCCCTCATAAGTTGAGGGGCCATGTGTCCACTGATCCGCCCCATATAGTGCCACCTGCACCAGGTGTCCTAATCATCTCTCACCCGACGGTATCGATGATTCCTGCCGAATTTATTGTCAAGAAAGGTTTTTCGCCTGTAACAGTCACGTGGAAAATTATGGCTCTTAGGGTTAGGGTTACATGCCAGTACGAATGCAAGGAAAACTGTAAACGGAGTATGACGTAGAAATGTACTACTAAGCTGCGTGCCAGTACGAATGCAAGGAAACTGTAAACGGAGTACGACGTAGAAATGTACTACTAAGTTGCGTGCCAGAAGTGTGCAGCGAATCGTGACTCGGCATGATTCGCCCCGAATCAGACTCGATTCATGATCTGATTCGGGCTATTTCTTAATGATTCGAATCATGATTCGGCCAGTATTCGAATGATTCGAATACTTGCCAAGATATATAATATGTCCAAGCGTCTAGCGGTGAAGGCTTGTTGTCATCCTCAATATATAGCATTTTAGATTAAAAGCGTATCTCAGAAAAGGTGCAAGCAGATGGGTATCCAACACTTAACTACTGTGTTCCATATTATCTACGACTAATGGATAAAATTAAGAAGATGAAGAAGACTGTAAAGCATATATCTATCAATGAAGCTTGTACTGCTGCATTTAACAAATTAGACAACTATTTCTCACTTGCAACAAGCCAACAGTCAAGCCATTTAACAGTTGCAACAATATGCGATACTCGGTTTAATTTTAGTATATTTGACCTCTATTTACCAGAAAGCTTTTATAACACAAGCAAAGAGCGAGCAAGAGCACAGTTTGCAGCTTGTTATAACAAGTATAAAGCATGGGACAATGACATTCAAGCAGAGGAAATGGATGCTAGACTTGATAACGGGAGTGAGGATATACCTCGAGAAGTAGACTCTGAGGATGAGATGTTTTAGCATCGAAAGCCTATACTCCAAGAGGTTGAATGGAGACGGTGGCTTAATGAACCAGGAGTTGATAAGCCTGATACTAATGTTCTCAAATATTGGCAAGAAAAGCAGTATCAGTATCCAACAATTGCACAAATAGCTCGAGACTATTTAGCAATTCTAGCAACATCAGCAGCGTCAGAATGAGTCTTTAGCCAAGGAGCCGACATCGTTACGAAGAAAAGGAATAGACTATTACCTTCAACAATCAGATACTTACTATGTCTATGGGATTGGGGGTAATTGTTGATGATGAGGATATTGAAGATATAAGTGGAGATATGGGTTAGGCATAGTTAGATTTTTTTCGTAGTTTTCAATATTCCATACACTCTATTTCAGCCTCAAAGATTCGAATCATGACTCGAATCAGATTTGAGTCATGATTCGGCGAATACTTCAAAAATATGAATGATTCGGCGGATCGCCAAATAGTATTTGGGGGGTGATTCGCCGCACACTGCGTGCCAGTACGAATGCAAGGAAAACTGTAAACGGCTATAAGTTTTCCAGCAGTACAATCGTAGTGTCCAATCTGTGGTGTCCTCCAATCTGTGGTGTCCTCCCCCATATTCTGTTTCCTGTTTTCCAGCCCATATCCAGCCCATATTCTGTTTCTTGTCTTCCAGTAGTATAAACGTAGTGTCTGTTTCTTGCTTTCCAGCCCATATCTAGCCCATATTCTGTTTCTTGTCTTTGTGTGAATATTTTGATTTGTCGCTGCCGTATGCATTCATATCATTATCGAGGCATTCACACGAGGACAGAGGGGTCTTTCAGCTGTTTTATGAAATACTAATGACCACAATCAAACAGTACAGTCCACTACTCGATTCAACTAAGATAAGCTACGCAGCCTCGTTCGATTAATTGACAGATCAGGCATAGGAGAACATGTTTGCCATCTCTCCTGATCCTCTGAAATCATTTTCAAACTCCTTGCCAACCTCGAGGACGGTCTATAAGTGAGAATAGCATAGATGTGTTCCATCACTGCTTGCTATGGCATGTGCCGAACGCACTGCATTCTTAATCTGTGCGACAGTGTTAGCAAAGGAACCCCATTCGACGGTACCTAGGGACACTTGCCTGTCTACCGTTGAGGCTTTGCTTGGCCAGGACGTTCAACTGCTTGTCACTGTACACTGCATTCCCTGTCTCTGTTTTTGCCTTCTCAAGAAAGCTCCTCCAGATCGCTTTTCTCGTATCAACGCCTAAGGGGCTGTACTTAATACCAACGTGTATTCTGCTCTGTACTGCTTCATCAAAGTCTCTGACCCAGTTCATGGTAAGTAACATGATGCCCTTATAATACTCGAGCTTCCGTAAAAAGACTGAGACAAGAGAGTTGTGATTAGAGTCATAGGACCGCTTGCACAGAAAGTCATCAGCTTCATTGAGGAGAAGTAAAGTATTACGGCTACGGTAACGTGACATCATGGTTATAGGACCAGGGCCTAGTAACGTGACATGTGAGTCACAGGGGGCAAGCGGGGTAGGCTGCCATGTGACGGGGCTAATGGATAGTTGCAGAAACTAGTGGATATTGGATAGTTGAGCTATCCACGAACTATCCTGAATATCTACCTATCCGCCAACTATCCAGATTACCCATGAGGCACGATGCCACTATATATGTAGATAGTATTTCCTTAGATAGGAGCTTCGTGCTCAACTCAATATAGTATTCTTTACAATACTGTAATGTGTTACTTGGAAAGCCTTTGTGTCTAATGCCCTGCCTCCTCTGTCAAGTCAACCTTATGCAAGAAACCTCTGTGTCTTCTATCGTTTAGAAGTCAGCGTTACATAAAGCCTTCCACTTTTCGGCAACTTCAAACATCTCACACAATTGCGCCTCGAGAAGTTTCGCATCTTTGCTGAAGTTTCCCACAGAGACCTCCCTAAGTTAGCACAAATGGGCACTAGATTGAATATGGAGGTTCTTACTGTGTACAGAGGCCTTTCGAGGTGTTCCGACAGTCCTTCTGCAGTCATTGTCTTTCCAACACCTGGCGGCCCACTATCGAGCGTGTCAGTCTTGTATATATCGATTGTCATTGCCGTGGACATACTAGAGAAGCATAATCAAGCCACGGCGTTTTCCCTCCACAAAAGCACATCAAGCAGTGTTGCCCAAGTACTACTCGAGGAATTACTCGAGTAATACCCGACTCGAAGAAATCTGAACTACTCGAGTAGTTGCCAAGACAGCCAAGAGAGCAGGGTAAGGATGTAGACAGAATTATAGCATAGGCAAAGTGAAGCTTTCAATGACTTGAATATTACTGTGATACTTACAATCGTCAAGATGATGCAGACAACGAGTAATCTTTGGAAGCATTTAAAGACACAACATCCAGCAATACATGCACAATATCAGAAAAAGCATGTTCAAGACGAAGATACACAGCCTTCTTCTTCAACTACAGCTACATTCTTCCAGCCTCGCAAAGTACCTAGCCATGCACCAAATTCGTCAAAATTTAGAGAGCTTCTACTCTCATTTATTGTGTCTAATAACCTACCATTGCGTACATCTGAGAGTCTATCCTTCTGGCAGCTTGTTAGCCATTTAAATCCAACAACACTTGTAATTGGACGGACGACAATTGCAAGAGACTTGCAATGGCTATTTTGCATTCATAAAGCAAGGTTACAACTTGAATTACAGCAGCATACTGCACAAGGTGGACAGATATCTTTAACAACTGATACTTGGTCTGCACGCAACTATTCTGAATACGCTGCAGTAACAGCACATTGGATCTCTGATAAGTGGCAGTTACGATGTACAGTCTTAGATGTTATTGAGCTACAAGAGCCAATCCATTCTGGTGAATATCTTGCAGGGCAGTTAATAGCTGTTACAGACGACTATGGTATTATTCCTGCAGTTTTTACTATCACTCGTGATAACGCTTCTGCAAACAACAAAATAAGGCGATGTCAGATGTACTTGTGCAGCCCAAAAGTTCCCACAGGGTCTATGCGTAATAAGCTTTGATCATCTATCAGAAGGGGCGTTATTACACTTATTGTCACATATAACTGTGCTCATGATCACGTGAATGTGTAATGAATTGAATACTCTGGTCTCTACGTAATGTAGGAAAGCTCCTCTTTATAGAGAAGAGCTTTCCTAAGCGAGCTTGTAAGCTCGAGTGAAGCGAAATGAGGGACCACTGCTCGGTCACGTGGTGGTCTCCTCGTGACACACCCCCTAGATCATATGATCTAAAGAGCGTTGATGCTGCTTACTAAGCGGCCTAATGTTCTACCTATTGTGTGAGTAGAGCTTGTTAAGCAAGAAAAGTGGGGCACAATAGGAAGCTAGTCCTATTGTAAGAAAATATCGAGCTATCAGTGTAGAGTAAGAGCTGGACTTCTTTCTTCCTTTTTTCTTCTTTTCCTTCGTCTTCCTTTGATATACAACATCAATTGGCTCCGGCCTCCACCCCTTCTCTCTCTCTCTATTTTTTTTTTTTTTTTTTTCGAAGAAAAATGCCGGCGCTACGCTTCGGGGCACAGCTGCGTGCCGGTGCCTGCTGCGGTTGCGCCGAGCTGTAATGGTGGGTGCACCAGATGTGAGAATCTAGCCACCCAAGGAAGGGATGAATTTACTAAGACAACACACTGTCTTAGAAAACAGAGCCAAAGGGTCGTAGCTTAGACTATTCCACAACGCAGCAATCAGGTGTGTGATGTAGTGAAGTGGTTCAGACAAGTTGCAACAAATGTTGAGTCTGGGAACTCAGGGGTAAGTCAGAGGTTAACACCTCACTGACTTTTCAGAAACAAGGAGTAACAAGATGAATGCTTGGAAGCTTGGAAAAGACGTGGAAGTATGTGATAGTCGATTTACTGTATTGTCTGCTTGCCCTTTCTTAAGGAAAGGGCAATCCTATTTATGCTAAAGGAGTGTAGTTCTCTCATTTTCCAAGGCTTTCCATGATTACCAGGCTTGGTAACTGTAGTCGATGTAAGAGAATCCCATAGAACCATCTCTTAGGTTCGTAGCCTATAGGAAGTAAAAGGAGGTCCAAGGTCAGAGTACCCCTATAGACAAATTATGTCATAGACAAATTATGTCATAGACAAATTATGTCATAACTTAACCAATCTTGTGGGTAACTAAAGAGCGATGACATGTAATGAATCATAGAGGTTCGTAGGAGCTTTTAGAGCTATCGTTCATGCTCCTAGGCCTTTAGTTGGTAGAGATATGTCATGTGGTAGTATGAGTGATGTCATGTAATGAATCATAGAGGGTTGTAGAGATATGCTATGTGGTCATATTGGCCCAGTAACTAAGGAGCGATGACGTGTAATGAATCATAGATGGTTGTAGCAATCGTTGAGTAGTATTGCTCTTGTTGTTGGTGTGATAAGCCAAAATATGTATAGTGACTTGTAGGTTTGAGGAGGAGATTTCCAAGTTTGCTCTTGAGTTTGATAGCAAACTGAGTGCAACGAATGTCAGTATGACATGATACCCCTCTTAAGGACGTTTGTTAGCTGTGTGCTTGCCCTTTAGCCAGGTGGCTTTCTTAGAAAGAAATTCTAGAATCAGCCTGGATGCATTTTTTAGATTTCTCTTAGGTTCCCAAGTGTTGTCACTTGTAGGATAGCCTTTCCACTTAACGAGGAAGTAGTCCTGACCTCTAAGTGTCTTTTTGTCAAGGATAGACTCTACTTCATATTCTGGTTGATCCAAAATCAGAACAGGAGGTGGAGGAGACTGAAGTGGTCTTAAGGAACTTTCTTGTGCCTTAGACAAGAGAGATGCATGGAAGACATTATGGATAGTCCAAGTAGGTGGTAATGCAAGCTCGAAAGCATTCTTGCCAATAGTCCTTGTGATCTTAAAGGGTCCAAGTCTTTTAGTATTAAGTTTGTCTGATGGTCTAGTAGTTGTGATATGTCTTCTAGACAAAAAGACTTGATCACCAACTTTGAATTGTGGTGCAACCACCCCCCTGTTAAAGGCCTGAGCCTGCTCGTCTTGTGCACGCTGTATTTGGACCTTGAGATAGTCCTGGAGGCCCTTAAGGTAGATGATTCTTTCAGTAGCAGAAGGGTTTTTGAGATTTTCAGGACAATTAAGTTCTGCCACTTCAAACCTAGGGTGATAACCATAGTTTGCATAGAAAGGTGTCTCTTTTGTGGTGTTAGAGACCGTGTTGTTGTAAGCAAATTCTGCAAGATGGAGAAGATCTGCCCAGTTGTCTTGAGCATAGTTTGTATAAATTCTTAGATATTGTTCAAGTACAGAGTTGACTCTCTCTGTCTGGCCATCTGTTTGAGGGTGATAAGCTGTAGAAAAGCGTTGTTCCATGTTTAAGAGTTTAGAGAACTCCTTAAAAAAGTTTGAAGTGAAAACTGCTCCCCTATCTGAGATCCAGTGTCCAGGAATTCCATGATATTTAAAGACCACCTTGAGGAATAGCCACGCAAGTTCAGAAGCTGTGATAGTCTCATTGCAAGGCTCAAAGTGTGCCATTTTTGTGAGCCTTTCTACCACCACAAGGATAGAGTCATAAGGGGTAGCACCCCCTTTTGGGATAGAAGGAGGCAACTTGACTATAAAGTCAATGGATATGGAGTCCCATGGGCGTTCTGGTATAGGTAGAGGCTGCAAGAGGCCATAGGGCTTTTGCCGTGTAGGTTTGTTCAAGTTGCAAGTAGTGCAAGAAGATATATAGTCTTGAAGAGTAGTCCTTAGACTAGGCCAGTAGAACTTTCTTGTTAGAAGTTCATAAGTTTTTGCAAAGCCAAAGTGCCCTGCAGCTGGAGCATCATGGAACTGCTGTAGGAGGTGTAGCTGTAATTGTTTATCCCTTGGGACATAGATATAGCTCTTGAATAAGAGAAGTCCTTGCTGATTTTTTGAGAAATTTTGTAGTCCAACTTTCTCAAGAGAGGAGCCTTTCTTCTGGAGGTATTCCAAAGTTCTTTTGGCAAAGGGATCGTGGTTGTAAGCATCTTTGAATGCTTTAAGAAGTGTTGCTGAGGGTGTATAGTCTTTAAAGGTCTCTGGTTTCTGAGAAGAGGTAATGGGGGCAACTTGGTTTTGAGGGGATAAGTTTCCCTCTAAGTCCTCTGTAGTGCGAGGGTTGCTTAAAGATGCTGCTATAAGCTTTGTAGAGTCTAGCAGGGCCTTTGTATTGCTTGTTTTAGCAGAATCTTGGTAGTCATGTCTTCTTGAGAGGAGATCTGCTCTTTGATTCTTGGCCCCTGAGACATGTTTTATAACAAAGTCAAAACCTCCTAGTTGTTCAGACCACCTTGCTTGTCGTCGATTGAGCTGTTTAGTGGTTGTAAAGGTCAAGAGATTTGAATGGTCACTGTAAATAGTGATAGGATAGTTTGCCCCTTCAAGGTAGCATCTCCAATGCTTTAGAGAACATACTATGGCAAGCAGTTCCTTGTCTGTAATGGGATAGTTTTGTTCGGCTGCTGATAGCTTTCTTGAGTAAAATGCCACAGGCTGTAGCTCTTCTTGTTTGTCTTTTGGAGCTTGGTATAAGATTCCAGAAATGGCAAAATCTGAGGCATCTGTCTCAAGAGTGGCAGGTTTCAAGGGGTTAAAGTGTAGTAACATTTTCCCTTCTTTGAATTCTCCTTTAAGAGCATCGAAAGCATCTTGCTGTGTCTTATCCCAGTGATACAAAGTGTCCTTGTGAAGTAATTGAGTTAGGGGTAAAGCCAAGGATGTATATCTTGGTATAAACCTCCTGTAATAGTTGGCAAACCCAAGGAAAGACTGAACCTCTTTAATGCTGGAAGGAATAGGCCACGTTTGTACTGCTTTTGTCTTTTCAGGATCCATCTGAATGCCTTCTGTTGAAATTCTATGTCCCAAGAAATCAACTTGAGACATATGGAAAAGACATTTCTCAAGTTTGCAAAAGAGTTGTGCTTGAGATAGCTTCTCTAAGACTTGTCTAACATGTAGAACATGCTCTTGAGTGTCTAAAGAGTATATAAGAATGTCGTCTAAGTAGACAACAACAAAGATATCCAAGTAAGGTCTTAGAATATCATTCATGAGAGCTTGGAAAGAAGCAGGTGCATTGGCAAGCCCAAAAGGCATTACCTGGTATTCAAAATGACCATAGCGTGTTCTGAATGCTGTCTTCCACTCATCATCTTCCTTGATGCGTATCAGGTTATAAGCTCACCTGAGATCTAACTTGGTAAAGATCTTTGCTGAAGAGAGCCTATCCATGAGCTCAGGGATAAGGGGTAAAGCATATCTGTTTTTAACAGTGACTGCATTAAGGCCCCTATAATCAACACAGAGATGCAAGGAGCCATCTTTCTTCTTGACAAAGAGAATAGGAGCTCCTGCTGGTGAGGAAGAAGGTCTGATAAAGCCAGAACTAAGGTTCTCATCTAGGTATTCTCTGAGAGTTTTCAGCTCTAATTCAGATAGAGAGTAGATAGGGCCGTAGGGAGGCATTGAGCCTTCTGCGAGTGGTATCTCATGGTCATAAGGCTGGTGCTTTGGCAGAATTGATGCCTTTGCCTTGTCAAAAAGATGTTGGTAGTCTTGGTATGCTAAAGGCAAAATGACCTCCTGAGATGATTTCTCCAAATCTGAAGTAGCTGCTATCTCCAGGACAGGTTGGAAAGGTTTAACCCATATCAGAGATGATATATCGTCCATAGTTTGGTCAAAATCCTTGATCTGGGACAAGTCTGAGTCTTGGACCTGAATAGGGGTAACTGAGGCTTGAAGGGTTTTTTCAGTATTGAGCTCCGGATTTGAGCTAAACCCAAGCGATAAATGCTTCCAATTGATAGTTGGATCATGCCTTTGAAGCCATGGAAGACCTAGGATGACTGAGTACTTCATTGGTATAACATCTAAAGAGATGGTGTCTGAAAATGTTGATTTTCCTAGGGGAATCTCAAGTTTGAGTACTGGGGTGTTGCAGGTAATGGAACCTGAACTGATAGGAGTTCCATCAATGACTCGGAGCAACTCTGGAGTGCGTTTGGGAATTGTAGGTAACTGGTGTGTCAAGATGAGGTCTTGAGATATAAAGTTGCCTGTTGCCCCTGAGTCTATCATAGCCCTTGTAGATAACACCTGTTGTTTGAAATGGAGTTGAATAGGGATTAACAGGTGTGTGAAACTCTGAGAAAGCACCATCGACACATCTTTGTTGTCTAGGGGAGAAGTTGTAGTCTCAGTTGAAGTTGTGCCTGGTGGGGATTTTTCAAGTTTTTCAGGAATAGCAGCTGTGACTGTGTCTGAGGCTGCTATATGTTTTGATTCAGCACTCCCCCGTGCTGAATAGCACTCCTGAATTCTGTGCCCCCCTTTGCCACAGTATAAACAAAGGTTGTTGTCCATTCTGTGTTTTCTTTCTTGAGGAGTAAGTTTACCCCTTTTCAGTTTTTGAGGGCTTCTTGTAGGCTGAGGTGCTGGATTTGCTGTAGATCTCTTTATAGAGGCGTCTAAGTCCATAGGTTCAGGTGCTGAGTCCTTAGCAGTTGGTGTAGAGGTGTAATTGTTGAAATTTCTTGTTGGATGCCAGTCTTGGTTCTTCTCCTTTCTTCTTTCAAAAAGCCTATCATCAAGTCTGACAGCTTTCTCTATAAGCGTTTGAAGTGTTGTAGGGCGTTCTTCTTTGCTGAGTTCATCCTTAATAGAGCTCTTGAGCCCTTGGTAGTAAGTGAAGACTAAGGCTTCTTCATTCCAAGTCAAGTGAGAAGTGATTCTCCTAAATTCTGTTGTATACTGAGCAGCAGAGGTCTTTTGACATAGCTTCTGTAGCTCTCTTTCTGCTGTAGCAGTTTCGTTGATGTCTCCAAAGGTCCTGGTAAGTTCCTCTTGAAACTGGTCATAAGAGGTAATCAAAGGTGTAGTGGTATTTTGGTTGTTGCCACTAAGTCTTCTAAGATATGGCTCAAAGAAGTTGAATGCAGATCCACGGAGGTAGCTGGCAGCGAAATATATCTTCTGAATATCTGAGGTGAACTGATGAGGCCTGAGGGTGAAGTAGATGTCCAGTTGCATAAGAAATCCCTTCAACTTCCTCCTGTCTCCATGGTATAAATCTGGTGTTTGCACTTTAGGAAGTGCACCTGGGGTACCCGACATAGCCAGAGGAGCTGTGGGAAGCTCTGTATGATGTGTCTGAGTTGAGGATTGTGTTGCTGAAGTGTTGGCTTGAAAGGTGTTTTCCAAATTCTCAAGTTTGTTTGCTATATTTTGTATAAAGGCAAACAGTTGTTGCATCTGCTGTTCAGCAGTAGTTGTAGGAGCTTGGTCGTCCTCCATTGTAGTATCGAAGTGCTGCTATAGAAATAGTTGAAGCTTGAAGCAGACAAGGTGTAATGGTGGGTGCACCAGATGTGAGAATCTAGCCACCCAAGGAAGGGATGAATTTACTAAGACAACACACTGTCTTAGAAAACAGAGCCAAAGGGTCGTAGCTTAGACTATTCCACAACGCAGCAATCAGGTGTGTGATGTAGTGAAGTGGTTCAGACAAGTTGCAACAAATGTTGAGTCTGGGAACTCAGGGGTAAGTCAGAGGTTAACACCTCACTGACTTTTCAGAAACAAGGAGTAACAAGATGAATGCTTGGAAGCTTGGAAAAGACGTGGAAGTATGTGATAGTCGATTTACTGTATTGTCTGCTTGCCCTTTCTTAAGGAAAGGGCAATCCTATTTATGCTAAAGGAGTGTAGTTCTCTCATTTTCCAAGACTTTCCATGACTTACCAGGCTTGGTAACTGTAGTCGACATAAGAGAATCCCATAGAACCATCTCTTAGGTTCGTAGCCTATAGGAAGTAAAAGGAGGTCCAAGGTCAGAGTACCCCTATAGACAAATTATGTCATAGACAAATTATGTCATAACATAACCAATCTTGTGGGTAACTAAAGAGCGATGACATGTAATAAATCATAGAGGTTCGTAGGAACTTTTAGAGCTATCGTTCATGCTCCTAGGCATCTAGTTGGTAGAGATATGTCATGTGGTAGTATGAGTGATGTCATGTAATGAATCATAGAGGGTTGTAGAGATATGCTATGTGGTAATATCGGCCCAGTAACTAAGGAGCGATGATGTGTAATGAATCATAGATGGTTGTAGCAATCGTTGAGTAGTATTGCTCTTGTTGTTGGTGTGATAAGCCAAAATATGTATAGTGACTTGTAGGTTTGAGGAGGAGATTTCCAAGTTTGCTCTTGAGTTTGATAGCAAACTGAGTGCAACGAATGTCAGTATGACACGAGCGCCGTGGCGCTACTTGCTGGGCTCATGGCCGATCCTGCTCTGTCTGTGGTGGTACGTCTTCCTGCTCCTCCCCTTGTTTGAATGTGCTAACGATCATTGTAGAAGAGGAACCGCCTGCGCGGTTACGTCCGCGACGCTCTCGCAGTTGCCGACAAGAAGCCTGGTGGCTTGTCGTCTGCTCCCGCACCCGCCAACGCCCTCGCCGCCGCTCCTGGCTTTGGAGCTCCTGTGCCTCTTTCTGGTTTCGGCGCTCCTGCACCTCTCTCTGCTGTCACCTTCAGGCAATTTGGCTGCTCCCTCGCCCTTTGGGTCTCACATCCTTGGGAGCTTTGCCGCTCCTCCTCCTCCCGCCCAGGGAGCACAGCTCGGTGCACTCCTGGCGCAACTTGGTGGCCTGCTCGCGCCCTCTCCTGGCGGTCCGTCGGTGCTCGCGTGCCGCGCGATGATTATGGCAATTCTTGGCCAGGTGGTGGATTCGGTGCTGGAGTGATCGTCGGTGGAATTTTCTGGGGGAGTTTGGGGGTGGGATTGGTAGATATGGGGGGGGGTTAGGGTGAGAGCTTGGGAACGTCGCCCACTGATATGAAACTGTTCTCCGCGCTCTGCCTTGTTCCTTGCCGTGCTCGTAGACTAACGTACAGCCCCTTCCCGAGCTCTGGCCATTATTTTGGCTCTATCTGTATTTAGTGTGAGCACAAGAGAAGGGCGATGAATGATCGCGCTCGCGTCCTTTTAAAGGGGTTGCTCTGAGGAACTCTGCACTGCCTGTTTGTAGGCGTTTGCAAGGGTGTTTGCGATTGCAAACATGGGATTGTTAGATTACAAATGGAATTGTACAAATGAAAGATGCTCGATAGAGCGTATAAATGTGTGTACAAGCTTACAAACGGCCATTCTCAAGCTCGCATGTGTCCTTAAGGTTAAGGAGAGCACGGAAATGCTCGAACTTATGCCTTGGAAGGTTCTTTGTAAGCCCGTCAGCTGGCATATCAGCTGTTGGGAGATAGGCGATCTCGAAACTGCCAGCCTGGTGCTCCTGACGGAGCCACATATTTTGAATATCTACGTGCTGGAGCTTTGTAGCTATTCTCGTATTCTCCCCTACTACTAACCAGATCATTTGCTGGTTATCGCAAAAGATCGTCCATGTATTGCCGAGCTCTAAACGGATTTCTGAAAGAAGCCTTTTAAGAGCAATAGTCTCTTTTCCTGCTTCTGTTAAGCCGCGGAGCTCGGCTTCTGTTGTAGACGTCGTAACTGCTGTGGATCTGTTCGCTTTCCAGGCTACGACTCCTCCGAATAAGGAGATCATATAGCCTTCTGAAGAGCTCTGCGTTTCAGGATCGTCGCCAAAGGAAGCGTCAGATGCTATAATCACCTGCGTGCCATGGAGCTTACCATCGTACTGTACTGAGAGCGTCCGCGTACCATAGAGGTATTTGATCGACCAATCAATAACAGTGATGTGCTCCGAGCTTGGGTTTGCTAGGTAGCGTGAGTAATTAAGCAGCAAAAGCTACGTCTGGCCGGATCATGATCACTGTGTAGAGCACTGAACTGACCTTCTCCTGATATTCCTTGATCTGGCGAGCAGACGCCTTGTTCTTGTTTGGTAGGAATTCCAGAGTAGGAAGTGGTGTGGCTGGGCTTGTTCCTTCGATCAGACCAAACTTGTTTGCGATCTTCTCAATGTACGTCGTATGCGTCAAATAGATCTTGTGAGCTTTACGATCACGTATCACTCGGATGTAACGCTGACTTCTAAACGATAGAAGACACAGAGGTTCTCTTGCGTAAAGGTTTACTTATCAGAGGAGGCAGGGGATCAGACACAAAGGCTTCAAGTAACACGTTACTAGTATATAACAAATACTGTATTGAGTTGAGCACGAAGCTCCTATCTAAGGAAATACTATCTACTTATATAGTGGCGTCGTGCCTCATGGGTAATCTGGATAGTTGGCGGATAGCTAGATATTCAGGATAGTTCGTGGATAGCTCAACTATCCAATATCCACTAGTTTCTGCAACTATCCATTAGCCCCGTCACATGGCAGCCTAACCCGCTTCCCACTGTGACTCACACGTCACGTTATGTGACTCACACGTCACGTTACTAGGCCCTGGCCCTGTAACCATGACATCATGTTACTATAGCCGTAACATCGGATTCCTAGGAACCACTCAACGTCCCCTAGCTCGCGGACTTCATACTTCGTAGTAAAGCTTTTAATAAGCTTCCGAGCGTACAAGTAGTCTTTCTGATGATAGAGGAACAGGCAATCGTCGATGAAGATCATGACAAATAACTTTTGGTGCTCGTCGTAAAACAAGCACCGGTCCTCAGTAGATTGGATGAGGTCAAAGAGTGAGAGCGTATTCGTAAGCTCTTTGAACCAGAGAGCTGGCGAGTCTCTTAATCCGTAGAGCACGCGATCCACATACACCACTTTGCCTGCCTGCTTAAATCCATCTGGTAGGTAGCATACTACTGGCGAGCTTCGTGTATCTCGTTTGGCGTTCATTGATCTCAAGATCATTTTTAGCTGCAACAGCCATCATTATGCGAAATACTTGGGCCGCAAGCATTGCAGCATAGGTCGAGAAGATCGATTCTTCATCCTGAAGATCGCCTCAAGCTACGATGCGCGATTTGCAGCGTATGAGCGTACCATGAAGGTCCACCTTATAAGTGAATACCCATTTCAGTGGTATTGGCTTTGTTCCAGTCGGTATTTCGTGTTCAGGAATAATTCTCCAGCAGTCCTTTGACTCGAGTTTCTTAAGCTCGAGCTCAGCGTCATCCTTGAATTGAGCGCCATAAAGGTGCTTCTCTAGATTGCGCCATGCTTTAGGCGCTTTTGGAAGATCTTTTTCGTTCGTAGGTGGGATTAGTGTTGTCTGCCGCAATGCTCGCCCCTGTAGGATAGAGGCTGCAATCACAGCATGCGTTGTGTTAAGGTCGTCGATCCATGGTTTTTGCGTAGGTGGATCAGGCATATGCGATTCCAAGAATTCGGCGAACTTAGGATCAGTTTCTTCGAGCTTAGAATAGAGGGTGCTGTATAAACCCGTTCTTCCTCTCGATCGAAGCCTTTCACTGAAGCGTACAGGCAGGGTTTCCTGCTCTGTAGAGCTTTCTGTGACTTCTTGTGAGAGCGTTTCTTCCGCTTCTACTTCTTCTACAGGACTACGAGCTTCGGTCGTAGGCTGCACTTCATGAGCATTCGCTGGGTGGTGAGTAGCGATCTCACCATCTAATGTTGCGTGCTCAGAGGTCGTACGGTTAGGAGGAGATGTGCTTTCCTCTAACTCATCCAAACTACTCGACCCCTGATTAGCTTGGGTTGGCGCTTCTAGAGCTCCTTGTGGAGGTTCTAGAGTGCGATCTCTAAAAGCGGTTGGTGCTGGCGTTGTCTCAGGTGTGAGGAGGCCAAGGAGGTATTCAGCTTCTCCCTTTTCTTCTTGGTGGATCACCCCCGAGATCACCGCCTCCATGGTTTCTTGATCATGCTCTGAGGACGTTTCTTTTTGAGCTTTGTCCACCTCAGGCAGTTGATCGACCACGCTCGCCTTAATTGTTTCGAGCTCGCCGTTACCCACCCCTAAGATCTCGAGGCCATCTGCTATAGATGACAGTGTGGTGAGATCTCCTGGTGCGAGTTCTGGTTGGGGAGTGTACTTCGTACGCTCGTCGAACATAACGTTCCTAGTTACAATCACCCGATCGAGCTCAGGAATCCATACTCGATATATGTTTTGAGACATGTAACCTACTAGGTATCCTATTGCTGCGCGCGGAGCTGTTTTGAAAGCTCGCACATTGCGCCCAGCTTCGCGATCTTTGATCAATGGGTAGGCCCGTGATCCGTAGGCATAAATGCCAGACCAGTTGGGCTGAAGATCAGCTGTTAAGCTCTCCACATATTTTGGCTCATACCATCGAAAGTATTGCTGGAACCACGAGCTTAGGACATCATGTGGCGTGCGCCAATGGTGCTTTTGGCTCGGGCTTATGTTGTGGAGAAAGATCGCTGTCATGGTGCTCTCAGGCCAGAGCTTCTCAGGAAGGTTTGCGCCAGCGAGCATTGCGATAGAGCGGGGGATTATAGTGCCGCCTGCTCTTTCGATTCCTCCATTTGGCTCGTGTGTATAGGACGGCGTAAGCTCGAGGATTATACCCCGCTCTTTCGTCCAGCGTTGGTAGCCAGTTGTTCCTTGTTGGTTGATCGGGATCACCGATTTATCATTGTTGTGCTTGAGGAAACATATAGAGAGACCGTAATGTCTTGTTACGTGAGCATCAAACGCCTGAATGGTGTCTGATACGCTCGTGTGAGATTTGTTCTTGAGAAGGAATCCAAAGAGCGTACCACTGTATTCGTCTTTAACTAGTAGTAGCCAATTGGATCCGTCGTACCCGGTGTGAAAGTCGAAGAGGTCCCATAGAACTCTCCAGAACGGACGTCTAGAGCTCCTTTCTGATGGGACCTTCGAGATTATCTGTTTGGCGTGTGCTTTAGAGCAGTGCTCGCAATCGATGCGCGCTGTGCCTTTGATTTCGACGTTCCGGGCGTGTTTTACTAGAGCACGCAGGGCGGCTTGGCCTAAGTGCCCTGATCGTACGTGCCATAGTTCTTCAGAATCGGATCGCGGTAGAGCTTTGTCCCTTGATTTACGATGGTCATTGGAAGTGTTGGTGGTAGACAAGTTGTTGATTAGTTGAAGTATATAGGTTACAACTACTGAGAACTATATATGTGGGTGGGTGCCACGCCAGTGGCTCCCGCGACTCTGAACCCCGATTCCTGCAACATTATGTTACATGATATACGTTTGTAACCTAATGGTGATACTTCAACTTATTTTTGGGCCTTAGGCACTACGAAATAGATGCCTATGTTCGTTGCTGAATTCGTCTGGTTCATACGGACAAGCTTCTTTCACGTTTCTTGGTCTGCTTGCTTTCAAATAGTTTGGTTACATCACCGTTACTATACTAACATAACTTCGGGTCTAAAATGTCTTGCAATAATTTCCACGCTGAAGCGATACAGCCATGTGCCAGCGAAGAAGATATCGAAGCACTTCGAAGACAAGTTCTCGCGAGAAACCTGCAGGGCGTCCGAAATACATTCTCTAACTGGCTAGAAGAGGATCCAAAAAATTCCTTGAAGATAGGAAGCCTCCGTGGCAGATACCCTCGCATATCTTCTATCGCAAGGCGTCTCTTATGGCTTGCACCAAGTGAAAACTGCCATCTACTCTAAAGACCAACATAGCCTTGAAGTTTTCCTTGCCTAAGGGTGGAACATTAACGAGCCCGAAGCCTACTGCAACCCTCCACTATTGAGGTATGTTACGAACCGTCACCGTGGTATCCCAAACTTACATGTCGCAGCCTTGCCATAGAGGACGAAAACTTGACTTTATGGTTTGTAGACCACGGCGCCGATCCAAATGCCGAATGCGACTTCGATTATACCCCACTCTCCGTAGCGATGGTCAACGCATCGTTTGCCACTATCAAGTTGTTATTCGATCGCGGAGGCTCAGCCGAACATGGCCAGCTACTCCATCATGCTGCCAGACGTAGCAAGCCTGACCAAATTGAAGTGCTTGATTTCATCCTTTCCAAGGGAGCACGAGGGATGAACAGACTATTACACCAGCATCGACCTGGTAACTTTTTATTCCTCGAAACAGGTCTTTCAACTCCGCGAAACATCTCTTTACTGCATTACTTCTAATGCTTTTTGGGGAATTCTGTTTCGAGGCTTTTGGATGCGCTGGTCTGCATATATGTGAACTTGTGGCAAATTATTAGCTACGGGGTTCATGCTCAGGCTTCGAACATGAGATCAGATGAGCATTTAAGACTGCGCCCAGAATATTAGCTGGCGGTGGAAGGTGCGGGGAATATACCATATACTGTTAGGAACGCCCAATAATTTTCAGAAATTGAAGCTGCCGTGGTGTGATAAGAGTCGATGCAGCAAGTCCGGCCAGGTATATTCCAGCTCACAGAACCGCCAGGCTCAAATCCCAGAACTGGAGCAGCACACAAATACATATATATATGTCACTCTCCCCAATTAGTAATTCTCTGCGGGTGCGTTTATCCGTTGAATGTTGAATGGGCTCGGGGTTCCTTTCCGTCGGCGTTGTTGTGCGTTCCCATGTGGCATTCTCGGCGTTCCACCCCATTTCAACCAATACACAAATAGCACTTCGTGATATGCCGGATTTTTGTCAACATAGCGAGACATAAAATATGCATTACCATCTCAGCTACTCCATCTTTCCCCGGATTGCGACGCACATGAAAAAAAAAAAAAAAAAAAAAAGAAGAGCGCTGGAGCCTTGCGGGCGAGGCTGACACTTGGAGGGTAGCGCCAAGCCGCTAAGAAAATTCCCCGTCATCGATAACGGGGGATGAAGACCGACGGCTGGTGCCGAGATAAGAATATCAAGTTCCCGATGCCCGTAGGATTTTAACCCGACTTTCCTTTTAAGCCCACCAACCCCTTCTCCTACTATATTTTGACAATATAGGGTGCTCTTCCCTCATATATTCACTATTTGCAAGATCTGAGCCCGCTATCGTCCTCTCTCACAACACAGATCCTCGTGGATCTTGGGGCGTACGAGGTACCTCGGCGGCATAGCTGATTAAAACTTTTGGGAGACGCTACCACAGCTTCATTTTCACCACCCCCGAAGAATTTCTAACCCGGTAGGGGATCTATCTTCAAGATGGCAGCTATCCGAGGTGCCATGCGCACGAATTTGCGCCAATTGACCTCGAGCTCTCGGCCCAGAGCTCCCTTATCCAGAGGATCACGGGCGTGGGCTAGTAACCAGTGCCCACTCTCTGTGACAACCACAGCCTCTGCTGGTCTCCGAACCTACTACAAAAGCTCACCTGAGGACCCAGCATACCGGGCAGTATCACCAAAGGAGGAACGTGATGTCTTTGCACCACTTGACTCTTTTGCCAGGAGGCATATCGGACCTACCCCGTCGGCGACTGAGGCGATGCTCAAGGTTCTGAACCCACCCGTAAAGAGCCTTGATGAGTTCGTAGAGTCAGTGGTACCGTCGTCTATCCTTACTGCGAAGGAACTGAAGATCGATGGCCCAAGCAAGGGCGTCATGGTGGATAACCTTCCTATCAATGAGGAAGGGTACTCCGAGTCGCAACTCACCACACGCCTTAAATCAATCGCCTCGAAGAACAAGATCCTTCGCAGCTACATCGGCTGCGGATATGCTGGAACGAGGACTCCAGAAGTTATCAAGCGTAATGTCTTGGAAAGCCCAGGGTGGTATACTAGCTACACGCCATACCAGCCCGAGATCAGCCAAGGCCGTCTCGAGTCGCTTCTCAACTTCCAGACCATGGTATCTGACCTCACCGCGTTGCCTATTGCGAACGCTTCATTGTTGGATGAGCCAACTGCCGCAGCTGAGGCCATGACATTGTCCATGAACATGCTTCCAGCCTCGAAGCAGAAGAGAGCAAACAAGACCTTCTTCGTTAGTCACCTTGTGAACCCACAGACCGTCTCCGTTCTGCAGAGCAGAGCCGATGGTTTCGGTATCAAAATCGAGACCGGAGACGTGCTGAAAGATGGCAGCGCGCGTGTCAACGAGCTTGGAGATGACCTCGTTGGTGTTCTGGTTCAATATCCTGATACTGAAGGTGGAGTTGAGGACTTCAAAGCCTTGGCAGACATCGTCCACGGACACGGATCCACACTCAGTGTAGCAACGGACTTGCTCGCCCTTACTGTTCTCACCCCGCCCGGAGAGTTTGGCGCAGACATCGCTTTCGGAAATGCGCAACGCTTTGGTGTCCCATTCGGATATGGTGGACCTCACGCGGCATTCTTCTCCGTCTCTGAGAAGTACAAGCGCAAGATCCCCGGCCGCCTCATTGGCGTGTCGAAGGACAGACTCGGCGACCGCGCACTGAGATTGGCTCTCCAGACTCGTGAGCAGCACATCAGACGTGAGAAGGCCACGAGCAATGTCTGCACAGCTCAGGCCCTCTTGGCCAACATGAGTGCCTTCTACGCCGTTTACCACGGTCCAAAGGGCCTCAAGGCTATCGCTGAGAGGACCATTGCTTGCACTAGAATCCTCGAGGAGGGCATCAAGAGACTTGGCTTCGAGACGGGGTCAAGAGGCAAGGATGACGAGGGCAGGGCGCTGTTCGACACTATTACTGTCAATGTTGGCAACGGAAAGGCTCAAGAGGTACTCTCATGGGCAGTCAAGGAGCGTGGGATTAACTTGAGAATGTTCGATGAGAGCCGTATTGGAATCACCCTGGATGAGACTATCGAGGGGCACGATCTCGAAGACCTCCTCTCCATCTTCACCCAGTTTGCGCCAAAGAAGGCAGATATCCAGCTTTCCCAAATCGGCAAGGAGCTCAACGGCACGACTGCTAAGACCTCAAAGCCGCTCATCCGCACATCGGAGTATCTCACCCACCCAGTCTTCAATTCTCACCACTCTGAGACCGAGCTTCTGCGCTACATCAACCACCTCCAGTCGAAGGATCTCTCGCTGACCCACTCTATGATTCCCCTCGGCTCTTGCACCATGAAGCTTAACTCCACCACGGAGATGATCCCCGTCACCTGGCCCGAATTCTCATCCATCCACCCATTCGCCCCCGTCGACCAAGCCACGGGGTACAAGACTCTTATCGATGAGCTCGAGTCGGACCTCGCCACCATCACCGGTTTCGACGCCGTCTCTCTTCAGCCCAACTCCGGAGCACAGGGCGAGTTCGCCGGTCTCCGTGTCATCCGCAAGTTCCACGAGCAGCAGGGCGGCGCCAAGCGCGATATCTGCCTCATCCCCGTCTCCGCGCACGGCACCAACCCCGCCTCGGCTGCGATGGCAGGCATGCGCGTTGTGACGATCAAGTGTGATACCAAGACCGGTAACCTGGACATGGCCGACTTGAAGGCTAAGTGCGAGAAGCACAGCGCCCAGCTCGGGGCTATCATGATCACATACCCTAGCACCTTCGGTGTCTTCGAGCCCGAGGTCAAGGCGGCATGTGAGCTGGTCCACCAGCACGGCGGACAGGTCTACATGGATGGCGCCAACATGAACGCCCAGATCGGTCTTTGCTCTCCCGGGGAGATCGGCGCTGACGTCTGCCATCTTAACCTGCACAAGACTTTCTGTATTCCCCACGGCGGTGGTGGACCGGGTGTCGGCCCCATCGGTGTGAAGTCGCACCTCGCACCCTTCCTGCCCGGCCACCCTCTCATTGCCACCGGCGGTGAGCACGCCATCGCGCCCGTCAGCGGCGCCCCCTGGGGTAGCGCAAGCATCCTGCCCATCTCCTGGTCTTACGTCAAGATGATGGGCGGCCGCGGTCTGACGCACGCCACCAAGATCACTCTCCTGAACGCCAACTACCTGATGTCGCGTCTGCGTGATCACTACCCGATCCTGTACACCAACGACGCAGGACGCTGCGCTCACGAGTTCATCCTTGACGTTCGCGGCTTCAAGGAGACGGCTGGAATTGAGGCTATCGACATTGCCAAGCGTCTGCAGGACTTTGGGTTCCACGCGCCGACGATGAGCTGGCCCGTGGCGAACACTCTCATGATTGAGCCGACGGAGTCGGAGAGCCAGGAGGAGCTGGACCGCTTTGCGGTCGCGCTCATTGCGATTCGCGGGGAGATTAAGGATGTGGAGGAGGGCCGTGTGGCCAAGGGGGAGAATGTCCTGACGATGTCGCCGCATACGCAGAGGGATTTGCTTGTGGGCGAGTGGAACAGGAGTTACACACGCGAGCAGGCTGCGTACCCAGCAGAGTGGTTGAAGGAGAAGAAGTTCTGGCCTACTGTGACGAGGTTGGATGATTGTGAGTCTACATCCCCCCCCTTTTTACATGTTGCATTTCTAACATACAAACTAGCATACGGAGACTTGAACCTTTTCTGCACTTGCAGCCCCGTCGACTCTATTGAGTAAGGCGTGCGCCTCTTCTTTTAGCACGACGTAATGTACTCAACACGAGCATTAGACGGGCGTTTTTCGGATTTACTGAGCCAGCGTTTTAACCACGCACGCGGCGTCTTTGGGTAGGGAGAATAATTCCAGGATAGGAAAAAGGAGTAGGGCTTCAACCGCCATTTTACTATGTTTGTTTATGGGGGGAAATAGATAGTGGTAGCTCGATCCAATAAACTGTTAGACTTTATTCACTGCTTGTCTGATGCTCGACTTTGCGTGATTCTCACTATGCATGGTTGACGGGGAGGAGTTGTCGGATGGCCATTGCGGGCCTGGAACTCCATGCCCGCAGGGCACGGAAGTCAATACATTTCATCCCCCTTTTCTACTCTACAAGACCTAGGCAACGAAGTCCGTAGTGTGTCCTTTATACCTGCTGATATCGGGGCCAAGCATCCTTTTTCCATACAAATATTTTGTACGGTAGCTCTCCCGATAATTGGAACATAACTCGTTCTCAATGAGTTAGCCGAGCCTAGATAACTTCAAGAACTAGTCTGATGGCCTCGCACTCTGGTGGAACCGCCACTTCCATGGCGCTGATACACCGCAAAGTTAGCCGCATACTTCCCTTGGGCCCCGGGGGTGGGGGGGGGGGGGGCGGTTGGGCATGGATGTGGGGGAGGAGTAGCTTTGAATTTCCTCTTTGGGTAATTACGTCAAAACGTATCCGAGATGAGTGCGCGCCGGCCCGTAGCTTTCTTCTTACATGAACTTGCCCCACGGCATCACACACACATATCACGCACCCAACCCAAAACCAACACTTAAAAATAGCTGCAAATAAAATAAACCTAAATCACACCCGCGCCTCCCACCCGCCAATCCCATACCCCCAATCACACCCCCTCCCCACCCCCACCCATGTTACCCAACATCTCCAACCGCGTCCCCCGCCTCCAGCCCACCAGAAGTATTCCCAGCATCGCGCATATCTAAAAAAGACAGGCTCCCCTCATCGCCCTGCTCGCTCACTAGTCGATCATCAACGTCCATCGTCAGCGTCTCGCTCTCGCTCCTCGCCTTGCTGCCTTGGTCGCTATCGATCTCGTCGCCGTACTCGCTGCCACTGCCGCTTCCACTCTCGCCCTCCTCATCACCCCCCACATACTCCTTGGCCTTCTCCCCAACGGAAAACGTATACCCATCCACGCTACTATATCCCATCCACTCCGGCGCTAGTCTCGCAATCTGCACGCCGAGCCAGAGTACGCGTTCGGGGCGGTGCTGGGAGCGCATGCTCTCTGCCTCGAGGTAATGCGTTTCTGGCTCGACATTCTCGTTCGCGAACCAGTTTTCCGGGAAGTACCCCGCCGTGAACCCAAGGCCCTGCATAGCGAACTCCTCGGGGAAGGGGCGGAAGATGTCCTTCGCAGGCGCGACGGCGTCGTGGGCGCCTGCAATGTCGAGCTGCGACGGGTCAAGCGGTGCGGTGGGAGGAGGAGGTGTGTGCGGTGTGGTTTCTTGGCGGGCGGGTGAGGGACCAGAGTCCGGGATGGGGATTGTGGGGGATTCGATGGCGGCGCGTGTGGGTGGGTAGAGGACGGTGAGGGCGTTGAGGGCGCGGACGAGGTTCGTCCATGGGAAGTGGGGGTAGATGAGGGAAGCGGCGGCGGGGTGGCGGGAGAGGTGGCGGATGAAGACGAGGGTGACGTGGAGGAAGGAGAGGGTATTAATGTCGCCTATGCGGTCGAGGTGGATTTTGGCGACTTGGGTGAAGAGGCGGAGGGAGGCGGTGAAGGTGGCGGAGAGGGCGGGGGTGGGGGTGGAGTCGGCGTTGGCGTCGGTCATGAGGGTGTTGGCGGAGGTGGGTTGGGGCTTCAGCAGGAGGGCGAGGGGGTTGTCGTCTGCGCCGTAGCCGAGGAGGGCGATGCAGTTGCTGATGGCGATGTAGTACCCCTGTTCGAGGTATTTCTTGGTGATGCGCCCAATGTGCCCGTCGAGATTGCCCTTGATCTCCCCGAGGGTCTCTTCAAACGTATCTAGGGACTTGCCTGTGAAGATGGTGGCGTGGGAGCGCACGATTGCGGTGATGACTGCGGAGAAGCGGGGCTTGCCGGCTACTGGGTTCAGTGTTGGCTCGAACAGCGTCATGATGGACTCGCGGGCTGCAGTGAAGGGGATGGGGACTGCGAGGGACTTTCCGTAGTAGAGGAGTTGCGGGAGCGCGTCGGGACGGGCTAGGATTGCGAGATGGTGGTATAGACGTCCGGTGATGGGGGAGCGGTTGGCGGACTTCAGATACCACTGTCGGGCGACCTGGGCCCAAACCTCCCTGTCCCTGACGTTGTCGTCTTCTATCGCCATTCTGTACCTACCCAAATCGCCGAGACATTCAATCCACGTATCCTCGAATGCTGGGACAGTCTCTAGAAGAAGCGTCATCATAGAATAAGCTAGATATATGAAGGCGAGCATATAATCGAGAGACGCGGGAAGTCTGTTGCGGAGAAGCTCGAGGAAGCTATGGATGGCATGGCGCCAAAGTCTCGCTGGCATAGCATACTTAAGTGGCAGGCGTCGAACAGCAGGCGTAGCGGAAGGGTGCTGAGATGCAAGGAAAAAGTCGTGGTGTTCGTGAAGTAAAGTCCTATGCAAGGCGATTAAGGCCTGATACTGCTCATTATTCAGTTTGGGTTGGGTGCCACGTGGTGCTTCTTTTGCGAGCTGAGCTTGCTTTAAATCTACTTGGATGCACTTGCCCTCGACCATTACTAGTCCGACATATATTCCTTTAACCTCAGCTACTAGTTGTTCCTGAGATATGGGGCGTGTTTCTGGTTGGCTAACCATCCGAGTGTGGTCAAAGGTAGGTGAGGACAGCTGGGCACCCTGAGGACCTTGGGGGTTTCCAGACATCAGGATGTCTCCGGGCAGGGTTCCCCGGGCGAAGGACGGCGCCGGTTTCTCCGTGGCCGTGGCAGCCACATGTTGTGGGTTTGACAGACGCTTGCGGATCTGATGAGCAGGTCGCGCTTGAGCGCTTCCGCCCGGTGAACTTACATTCTGGGCTTGAGGCGAACTCGGCTCGGACGGATTAAACAGACGCTTTCCCGAAGTGGTAGGTCCACGCGACAAAAATTCCATAGAGTCTCGGGCCTTGCCTTGCGTGGGAGAAGATGCGGCTCTGCGAGAGGCTGGCAAGGCTTGCGAGCGCGGCGGGTTAGAACCCTGTGAGTGAGACGACGACGGGCACTTGCCCAGGCCGATTGCTTGCTTTTTATAATCTTGCTCGTCTGCCAAAAACGTATTACTCATCACAGGCTGCCGCTTCGCCGCATTGCTGCTTGCTAGCTCCGCCTTCTGCAGGTCTTCCAATTTGCTTGCGGTCAGCTGTCCATCGGTGGGTAACCTTGGGGGTTCTGGTGAAGTGGCTTCTTTCCTGTTCATTAGATCAGCGCCGCGTTCCACATAATCACTAATAATAGCCCATTAGATATCCCCGAGGTCGAGATTTCCCCCCATAGAATTTTGTTCCCACGTACTTTGAGAGAGCCCTAGATCTCGCCAAGACCTCATCCCGGAAACGCTTTACGCGCGACTCATCCCTAGGAATGTGAACGGCATGGGTCTTCTTCACATGATGCCACAGATCATTTTCCTCCGTAAATGTCGGCGGGTCATGGCAATACGGGCATTTCAATAATGGCGCTGACGAGCCACGTCTCGTGCGCAACAACTTAATCCAGTTGTTCTGAAAGGTGGCGTTTGCGTCGATCGCGTTCCTTGTTGACATTTGCGAGGGGAGATAGCGCGAGTGCTCATTAAGCTGCTGCTTATGAACGTGGAGAGCGGGGGAGGCGAGGTGCATAGCAGTATACGCCAGGTACTCGTAGAGTGGGATGATCAATGCTCAACCTCAACAATTAAGAAGGCCCGAAGACATGAGAATAAAACAATAACAATATAGCGACAGATAGAGGTCGGAAACAGCAATACTGAAGTATGGGAATGAGGTCTTTTAGGTAAAATGACGAGGAGTAACTTTTAGCAGGTAGTTCGCAAAACCCAGCAGCCAAGCCAATAGGAGCGAAATAGACAATGTGACTTTACTATTGGTTGAACAGGGCCTGCATAGGCTGGGGCTGGGGCATAGCGTGGGCGGCCAAACAGCCATAGGATCCATAACATCCCGCCCTAACAAGGATGGTCAGCATGGTCAGCCTAATGGAACATCTCGGTGAGCGTTTTCGACCAACATGTCCAAGCACGGCCGCCGGCATCACCTGCACCATCCCGACCCATCCTATCCGCCGCCATCACACAGCGCCACAATGCATAATGTCGGAAGCGAATGAAGCGGTTCTTAGGGCTGCTCAGTCGCTAACACTTCCAACCTTAAGCGCTGTGGGTGGCCAGCCTCGTCTCCATAAAATAAGCCTCCGCCATAAAAATACCAGTGCATAATCTCAGATGTGATAGCGAGCTTTTGCCAACCAGAAATACTGTACACAACTAAAACATCCAACGCCAATCCTTCCAATCTCGCCGAATCCTTCTGGAGCTCCAATCCCTCCCAACTCCAACCAACGGCCCCCGAATCGGAAACGGCCCTCGAATCAGAAACGGCCCCCAAAATGAATGGTTAATAACACCTGATACGCGCAAGCGTAGTGGAGCTTATTCCGATAACCGCGCCTGCGGATTATCAGCTCAAGACACCAACAGTAGCTACCAGCAACAATCATTCCCCATCGCGTCAGCTCCAAGTTCTAGGCGCCAGTCCATAGGGCTGGGAAGGAGGCCGTCTATCTCGAGGCCATAAGATGCGCGTGCTCCCCCATCAAACGGTTCACCTGCCAACACCGCGCTATACGCAATACCTCCAACGCGTTCAGCTGCGCCGCAGGCGTCTAGGCAACTGATGAGCTGGAGGGGAGTCACACGTTCCTTTCTTCATCTCTCTCTCACCGAGGGCGGCTGACGGTGTCAAGAGTTTGTCATGATTACCGTAAGCATCACGATCAGGCCGACTCGCTGGGTTGGTTGGGAGAGGTGGTGGTGTACTCTATACGGCGTAGCTGACTACCATCTCATCCACACCCTAACCGAAGAACGCTAAGTTACGAAACGGCTGAGCAGGTAGTCGTCCCCATAGCCACCCCCAAACCTCCAAAGGCTTCCATCCCACGAGCCTTCTGCGGGGTGCATGACTGCGCGCGCGAACCGGTGCGCGGGGTGGGGGGGGGTTGCGGCTGATAATTCGGAGTGCCCCATCCGTATCTGGCGGAATTTGGAAACGAAACCGGCGAAACAAACGAGGCTGCGGAAGCGGCTGGGGGGAGAAGGTAGGCATGCACTCTACTGTAGAAATGGCGGAGTGCCGTGCCTTACTGCGGATTTTCGAATCCCGTCTCTCGCCAGTTCTCGGGCCGGTTATAGGCCGTGGTGTTTGTTGTCTGCCTAGGCGTTAATTTGGTTTGGATGCCTCAAACTATAAAAGGTGCACTGGAGTGGCTGTGGGGGCTGTGGGGGCTGTGGGGGGGGTTCTACGAGATTAAGGTTGTAGCGTGGTTGTATTGTGCCTGGATTTTGCGGGCGAAACCCCTGTTGATCTGTCGCAAATGATTTTTGTAACTCGTCACATATAGGAAGGTGGTGCGAGATTTGATTTCTCAACTATGTCGCGCGGTGAGTGGATGGGCTGTTACATGTGAGAAGAACGTTTTCTACGATGAGAACCATTGGATATTATCGGGGCATGCGCATAAAAAGACTCATAGAAGCAGTCACCGGGTGCAGATACCATATACTTTCCTCACTCTATCTCGGATCCAAGGGCGTGACTCTACGGCGTACTCTCTGGAACAAGAAACTCATCCTACTACGCTATCCTCAAAATCCCGCGAACGCAGCAAGGAAAAAATCAGCAGCTGCGTAATATAAAAACCCCGCAACCGTTGAATACACCAAACAACTCCCACGGCGGAACGTTCCACCGCACATCTTCCGCGCATACAGCCGCCGTGCCAGGGTGCCCCGGCGACGGTCGTGTGCGAAACGCTTCCATTGGTTCTGGGAGCCTTGGTGCAGCCAGTAAACTGCAATCTGAGACTCCAGCCACGATCTGATAGCTGTGGTGGCTCGACTTGGTTTATGCACAGAGTCGGAGATAAGTGGCTTAGTCAGTGGCGGTATGTGTGTATGGGGAAAATTTGCCACCATGTGGATACCATACACAGTTCGCTGCGAGGCTGAAATATTGCTTTTTGCTTATTCTAACAACTCGAGATACGGGTTACGTTACGGGCACTGTCTGTGAGTTCTACAATTGCGAGATAGTGAATCAGGGCGAATAAGGGGAGGGTCGTGACAGGAGAGGCAGACATATATTTTGTTTTACAAGAATGGGTTTCTTTATTCTGTCTCAAATTGTTGTCGTTGTGGACATGAGATTTTGTGTGAATAAGGAGAAAGCATATACAGTAAAGCCTAAGTGTGACCACAAATCAAATCGGATCTAGGGGCTCGATTGAGATATGTATCACATTTACTAACTGTTTTTAGTAAATGTGATACATATCTCAGTCATCCCATGCCGGCACCCACGGAAGCATTTTAGTAATCTCCGCGCGTCTCTACTAATCAAGTCAGGGGCGACATGCATCATCGATCGTATGCATCCTCTCAGTGGCGATATATCCAAGCTACAAGTTCCAAGTCCCAGATACTTACTGCACAGGAGAAGATATTACCACCAGAGCTGCCAACCCCTATTTCTTTGGCATTAAATAGCACGCCCAGCTTTACCCGACTCACGCTAATTTCGCCACCTCCTCTCAACATCGACACATGCCTCAATATCTCATTATGCTGTGGCGCCGCGTCAAACCCGGAGCCTCCCGTTAAATTATGGGGCTCCGGCCCAAATATTGAGAAACGTCCTCACTATTCGGTGTGTCTGACCAAGTGGTCATCTCCCCCACCCTGAACAAGGAATTCTGGTTGCCTCACGGATTCTCGTGTCGAACGAAATGCCTCGACCCTTTCTCTCCGCCCCAATTCGTCGTATTAAGCCGCGTAAGGGGCCGACAAAAGCTCGCACAACCCATGTTTCGGGTGAGACTTCCTCCAGGTCGCTTCCACCAGTTCGCCAAGCATTCCGGCATTGCCACCCAGTTGCAGATAGAGGCCCGGATTGCGAAGGGCGCTGAACCTATAGCTAATTCGCGTCTAGCCAATCGACAGAGTCGCTAGCTGGCGCCTAGTCGAACTAGTCCGGGGAACGGTGGGATGAAGCGCTATAGAGACGCTAGCGGGGCGAACCCATTAGTGGGTCTCTCACGAGACATTTGGGGATTATGAACTATGCCAGATTTGACCAACTGCTGTCGACCATCCGCGCTCCGCCCCCACAACCGTGGCGTCGTACCGGAAAGTCTGACATACCTCACGATGCGTCTTTTGCGATTCGTTGTCGACGGCGGTGTGACAGCGCCTCGGCGGGAGAACTCTGGTTGCCTCGCCACGACATCGTGAAGTGTCAGCGTCCAGAAACCCGAAGCAAGGGGTGACTCCTAAATCCCGGCGTCGGAGCTTTGGAGTTGGCGGTCTGTCACCACCAATCCTATGGACGACCCACTATAGGGTTCAGAAGTCACGCGTTTAGAATAGGCCAGCAAGGCGTTCGGGTCTTGGAGTCCCAATGCCAGATTCTGGAATGAGGCAGTTCTTAATGGCAGACGGGCCTTCAATCTGCGAAGCTGGGTTGGGGGTTTTGATGCTTTGGAGTCTGATTGCTCAGTATCTTCGAGAATGCGTATGCCGAGTCAGCGCCTGGTCATGCGCTGGTGTCCCGCGAATAGATCTGCCAGCATATCTTGGGCAGCTTCACCGAGCCCTTGAGGAGCACACTTTGAAGGGCAGTGAGAAATGCTTCGGGAAACCCAGTCCTATAGTAAGGCTGATTCTTCTGCGTTTTTCTGCAGCCTTAGCCCAATTACCCAACCTTCAGGCTCACTCGAGTCTTTCGTTGCCTCGAAATCAATGCACAGGAGTCCGAAGGCAGCCTCGCGATTACTGAAAGATTGGAAAGGAATTGGGTTCTTGGGGGTTTAATGTGCGAGCGTAATAATAAAAAGTGATATATGACAGCGCCCGAGTCGTGAGGGGTCGCCTCGCTTTTGACACCTAGGCGAGGCCATATGAGAGGCCGCCACCGCAGTACAGTAAATAGAGTATCCGAACACAAACCAAAAACAGGATACTGTCGTGTGCCCGCAATTTCACAGCACGTATTGAGGTATGGATACCTATATATGGATGTGTCGCTAGATTGCTGGATACTACTCTCCTTCTTATAGCCCCCGCATTATACTATACCTCTGTTTCTTCCTGTTAACCTGAGAAGCGAGTCCGAGAAAACGGGCCAATAGGTGAAAAGGGAGGGTGGCCAAACATATGCGGCCATAGGAAATTGAACATGCCTCGCAGAAAATGAAACAGAAGAAATTAAAATAAGGACGACTTTCTTGTTGTTGCTCGGGAAACCCGAGATAGACTCTGACTTACCATTATTTTATGGGCAAAAACTCCATATACCCAGTAAATGGGTAATAAAACTCCATCTACCCAGTCGCCCGCCAACCCCCTTTTGGAAAGGTTAACGAGCCAATGAGAGCACGTACTCTCAAGTGAGAGTACGTGCTCTCATACAGCCTTTTTGAAGCAACGACGAGCTTCCATTGCTCGTCGTTGGGGCTGGCCCGGACACGCCAGGCGCAGCCCTCCTCGGGACAAACGGCGGTTGCCCCGTCATCATGGAGGACTTCTGCCGCTTGGGGCAGTCGTTGCCGCCGTGCCGGACTTAGTCCGTACACGCTGCGGCACCTGCGGTGAGCCTGGGCACAATGCCAGGACTTGCCGCAGGCCTCATAATTGACCTGTTCTCATTTGAGAACAGGAGGGGTTTACGGGGGGTTTACGGGGGGGTTACGGGGGGGTTTACCGCCTGTTCTCATATGAGAACAGGGGGGTTTCTGGATTGGGTTTTGGGGGGGGGTCACGTGGGATGGAACTGGGTATATAGAATTTATTTATTGTTTTACTGGGTATAACGTACATGTATAGCGAAAGCGCCAAACAAGCGAAAGCGCCAAAATTATCTACCCTCACGACAAACATTGCGATAAATCTACCACAACATTAGAAATCAATTGAAACTACTCGGAGTCCTCTTCCTCAGAGGTGTCTATTACAATCTGACACGTGCGCGCATTGTGCCCAGTCTCACCACACTTGCCACAGCGACGGGCACGGGTTTCTTCCCTTGGCTTCCGACCACGGCTTGCCCTTATTTCCTGCTCTACCTGCTGCACAACATCCCTCTCATCCTGTAGCTCTTGCGCCCCCTCCCTTTAGCAGTGCTAATTGATGCATTATTTGCGATGCACCCTTTGTAAACTGGTCAACAGCTGCATAGATTGAGGTTGGAGAGCTATTTTGATGGCGTGAAATCCGAGTTTTAATAAATGTAGACTGTGACATAGCTTCAATTGGGTTGTTTGGTGTCTGAGAAACCCAAGGTTGAGCAGTACCTGGGCGGGAGCTTGGAGGCGTTGGTGTCCTTAACTTAAGATCAAGTGTAGATATCACTCTCTCAGGGTCTGTAAGGACGCAGGGCACCGTATCACGAGAAGTGGCATATGGGAGTGCGAGTCGGATATGAGTCGGTGCAATCCTATAGGTCTACTACGAAGGATACAAAAAAGATGAAAGGGGAGCTTATAGCTTCCTACCCCTTATGTACCTAAATGGGGTCCGACTCGGCTAGGCCTTAGCGTACCGGTAGATCCACTCCCGTCTGCCGCCCGAATCGACCCCGACCCTAGAACATCTATGCTGCTATACTACTATGTCGCCTATTCCGCGTTGTCTTACGGGTCCGAGGGTACCCCGTGTAAGGAGGCATCCTTACATTACCCCCCCCCTTGAGAGAGTGCTTTGTCCTCAAAGCGCGTGGCTCCGTGTGCCGACCGAATGGTAGCCGAGTGTCGGTATGGTCTAGGTAGTCTTTGTTCGAAGATCGTGGTGCTGAATGCGTCCGTGGGATGGATCGCGGAGCGTGCTTTGTTCCTAATAAAAGCGGGTTGTTGAGGTCCGAGTTGGCACCGTATAGTATCCAGTTGTGGTGTTGCGCGTCGCGAGTTTCTTAGTTACTGTGCGCGCGCTACTACTCCTCAGAAATTCATTGTTCTAAGCGGTTGTTATGGAGCAACCGATTCCACCCAGGATTCGAAGGCTTCTTTTTACAACAACACCGCCTACGAACCCACCTCCCGAATCCAGTAAGTAGCCCCTCTTGTTCGTATACTGTATACTAATCTGATTGTTTCATAGGAAACAAAACAAACCAGACGACCGAGTAGGTGATGATTGCGCGCCGACGCGTAGGTGATAACTTCTGGGCTTGGGGCTGACGGTTTTGTAGGAAACCTTTTCGCGAAGATG